TGTATGTATGTATTTATGTCGTAGTTCTAATATATGAATTATTTATTTAACGAAAAACGTATAAATTGCGGTTAAGACAAGCTAGGAGATTATGGAGATTAAGAAGAAAATGGGTAAACGCAGCATAATATTACATATTATATAATAATGTGTAAACATTTTATTTCATTAAATTTGATCGATATAAAAGCATCAAATATAATTGTTAAATAAATAAATAAATAATCTAATATCTAATACAATAAATATGATATATTATAAGTAATAGTACGTGTGAAAATACATCACGTATAGTATGGAACAGGAATATTTTTCCACAAACCATTTAAATCAAGATAAATTACAAATGCTTCATCATAAATAATAATGATATAAATAGTTTTAATAAATATAATATAAATATATAAATATGATTATATATTAATAAATAAGGACGGTGGCCTTTTTATATAAATATTTAAGGATTTATGCGAATGTGAATGAATTCTATGTGCGAAGATAATTCTGCGTGTACGATCTTCATTTCTTCGCATAAAGTACTAGAACTCTGTACATATCCAATATGACCGTTTGCTCCTCATTATTTTGTCGTCTTTTGAAGATCACTTTTCTTTGCATATATTCACTTTTGAATTCCTCGTAAAAGTCTGTCTTCAAATTTTTCGGCATATTATCCAAAAATGATATAAAGGACATTATTGCGGCTGTCAAAATAATCAGACTTGTTAGTACAAAATGATAATTTAAATGAAATATACATGGATAAGGCATGCGGATAGAAAATTTATAATACAGATCGCAATGCCGTAGTATAAAATTAAAATTTTCGCATATGTTTGCATTTTAATTTTACTTGTGTACTTACGCAGAAATGTGTGCGAATTCACGTGCAAGTAAGTCGTTTCCCGGTGACTACAATGTAGAACATCGAATCCGACACTTTTAAGCATATTTTTTAATTCTTTCTGCGGCTCAGTTGAATATTGAAATGGCGAAACGAGTCTTTTCTTGTCCTTTGTAAACACGAGAATTACAATTAATAATTTGCAATAGCTATAAATTAATAAGATATACAAACGTAAAATATTTACCGGTATGTAGGAAGCATAGCGAGGATTTTGCGATATTTGGTTGAAAACATCAAATATATCATGAGACGCTACTAGATTCATAAGTATGGTCCCGCCGGGTTGTAACATCTCATAAATGTTGCTAAACGCTTGTCTATTGGATAAAGAAGATTAATTAAATTAATATCAAAAACATATATCTATATTACAATAATTCCAAACAAGAAGCTAACTTGTATGCAAATGTTTTGATAAAATATCGAATTACACACTGAGAGAAAAGACTGGTAACTATAACAAACTGCATTTAGTTACAGAAATTCGTTGAATCCTTAGAACTAATACTAAATATGATAATAATTACCAAATATTTAATAGATCGGGAGTATAACGTAATTGCATTCACAGTAACATCAATTAAATAATTTAGTAATAGTTATTTAATGTTAAATATTTAATATGAAATATATTACAGTTATGAACAGATATTTGATAATTATTATGAAATTATTATATCCCATGTAAAATAAAAGATTTAATAGGTACGAGTTCTATTTTGTTACCATTATGTTTTGTTGCAGCACAATGAAAAATTCATTCATTTGCAGCTATTACATCGTTTCAATATCTATTATTACAGATGGTTGGTTGAACCTACTAAAAATTTTGTAACTATTACAAAATCGCTTATTTTGCTCAGCTATTCAATAAGTTTTATTTACCAAATATATTCTGGAAGCAAATAAATTTTACTTCTGTCAAATAAATAATTTATTTTAGGACTAAATTAATTAATAAGTATTACCATAGCTTTGGCCCGCTATATTTACATCTACCATTTAGTAATAGTAACCAAATTTTGATAATATCTACTAAATCCTTCTCTCAGTGCAGTATGTTACATTTTCATCACTTTGACATCACTAATTTAGCTAGCTGAAAGTCTTTCTCACCGTATATCGCTGCACCAATGCAAAGCGTGAAATGAGAATATGTGATCAAACTCGGAAACATACTCCTTAGGAAGAAATTTAGTTTGTACATCCAACACTTCGAACGCGGTTCGCACGTTGTCACCGTATTTCTCATTAGCGTACTGGATCATGTCTTCCGAAATGTCCGTACCTACGTAACAAGGCAATCGTTGAATTGAGCGATAATTTTGATAAAGCGCGATTTTACGTGATCAATGATGATTTGGTATGATTCTTTTACCGATCATTACAGCCGTTGGACTGAGAGCCGGCAAGACGATATTTCTTGTAATGTCTCCAGGACCACAACCGATGTCCATACACTTTCCATTCAAAGTCTCTAATTCGTCCGCGAATTCGTCCATTATCGCCGATACATTGCACTGTTGCAATGTATTAGACGAAGCGTATGCTACTGGATTCACCATGGCTACTGGTTTCGGCAACTTGATGTGAGACACTAATCTCGAGTAGGTCCGCTCCGTCGTTTATATACTACGGGGCGAACTGTGGATGACGCATATTAAATTGCATATAGGGAGCACAGTGTTGCAGTACTCGTTTGTACGTGGAATTATATCACAGTGGAAGAAAACAAACATCAGGGAGGAAATTACCGCGCAAGCACTCTGTTTTGACGTTGGCACTTTTCTTTGTTTTCTCAAACATCGCTCATTTTAGCTAATAAGAAGACTAAGAAGATGTCAAAAATTATGCCAATAGTTTAATTTTAACTTACGAGATTAATGCACCATGTTAAGAGAAAAAAATGATCGATCTAACAAAAAATATAGTTACTTTTAGTCCCAACTATATTTGGTTTTTCAACACAAAAATAGTAGTAGTAACATATATATAAAGTTATTATTAACAATATAGTAAAATTTAATAAAATAATGGTTTCTTTGATCACAATTTATAATAATTATTTCTCTATGTGATTATATAGTCACAAATATCAAGCATTTTTTTCAGTGCATGTATTCCGCATTTGGCACAGAATTATATGCTTGAAAACGGTTGTAAATAATAAATTTATTAATAATTGCTGTTATTTTTTAAGCAAATAAAAAATAAATTTTGTAAATACGAAGGCTTGTGCGAAATGTGTTCGATATACATGGACGGGGCATAAAACTGGCAAGTTTATATTTCATATGAAATTTGGTTACACCTCGGCGGATAAATTACAATTTATGCACGGAAAAGAAATTTTGTTTCGTGCAACTGAATATGAACATGAACCATGTGAGAATTCAGCAATGTAAAATGGTATCTCTGTTACCGCAATCAAAAATATTTTTAATTCAACTGTATTAAAATCTGCTTTATGAATATTTAACTGTACTAAAATTTGGTTGCAATAACTGAGAACAATTAGCTGAATAGAAATCTACTACAGAAATCTTTCGGTTTCGAAAAAATCGATTTTTTTTATCGGGCATCTATTTTCATCAAGCATCGGAAGGTCAGTTACACCAACGGAATTTTTTTTACGTACGTATGTAACTCGCTCTAGTTCTAGTAATAATATATATCAATATTTATGGTCGTAGTGATCTGTAGTGATCTGTAGTAAGAAGCACGAGGAAAAAATGTCGAAGTCGATGATAAATGCAATCGGTACGCAGCGAAGGATGGAAGATTCCCTTCGTAGCCATCACGACGTTAACTTCAAATTCTTCAAATTGACGTCATCTTGACGTAAAACCAGTTCCTCTTCAAGAAGATTTACTAGAGACGCAATGAAGCATAACCGGAATACTTCAGTTGTACATCATTAACATACCATAAGCCAAAAAAAAATAAATTGCTTCATCTGATTTGATTGACGTTTCCTTTCGAAATATGCACAATATATTTACGATTACCGTATTGCTCAATCTTTTATCACTGTTCATACATAAAAACATGATCATGATGTAATGCAATACGATATAGTCAACGAGAAACAATAGTATTAATAACAATGAAAAACAAATACTAAGAGGTAACAATTGCATAACAACATCGAATTCTGAAATTAGAGAAAGAGTTGGCATCCAAACGATTAAGTAATTAACGACTATACATAATCATCGATACGTAGTACGGCATAGGAGTGGATAGAATCAGAATTATTATATTATATTATATTATGTTTTCGTCTATAAATATGTGCATGTGTTTATGCATATGCCCAATATTATATTTACAGATCACTTCACTCGTACGTCACGTGCGTGACGTACGTTGTACCCTTTCCGAATTGCAACAAATGTCACTGATATCAACGTAACGGACATTTCTATGTATTATGCACCTAAAATTGAATTAATAGGTAATTATTATATATACATATATATATATATATATATATATATATATGTATATATATATATATATATATATGTGCGAAATAATTTCACGTAAAATTCAGAAATAAAATCCAAGCAAAGATTCCGCCCGTTATTTATATTCTTATACTAAAATGTTAATTGGTCTTTTTTTCTTCCTTATTTTGCATATTAAACATATCTGTCAAAATATCCTCTGTATAATTAAATCGAAAATTTATTAATTTTATTTAATTAATTACTTAATTATTTAATTAATTACTTAATCTATTAATTACTTATTCTACTTACCTAATTATTTAATTAATTACTTAATCTTAACAGAGGTTTGAATTATTATTACTAAACACTATTACTAGTAAACACAACGTACATATTATTTGTGTACACAGGACTAATTTCGTGGGGACGCGGATGCGCCAGGCCGAATTTCCCAGACATATACACCAAACTAACAATACATAATACATAAATTTTAGGCGCATAATACATAGAATAAAATCAATTATCTCATAACCGATAGCGGACCGTTCTGAGAAGACGTTACCGAATGATCTCTCGGTACGGTAAAGTACTGAGTGACGTCTGCTTCAGTGACGTATGTATATTGCGCCTAAAACTGGTAAATGCCTGTTACGTTGACTCGGAGAGGGATACGTCACGCACATACGAGTGAAGTCATCAGTAAAACTTCGTTGTCGGTATGAAGAGACTCGACATAGGATCAACGTCAGACACCAAATGATGTGCTTCATTGCATCCTCTCTCTTTTTCAATTGCTTCTTCTGTCCGCTAACAAGATAATAGGGCTACGATGGTCGTGAAACAATTTGCATAGATTCTCATACATTTGTGCACCACACTTTGGAAATTGGAATTACTTATAATTCTGACATTTCGCGTTATGCAGCGAGTGAATCAATTGTGTTTTCATCAGTATAAATGTTTTTATTTAACAAAGCATTCGCATATATATATATATATACTAATGCGGCATACACATGTGTTTGTTATGTACATTGGACTAGATATATGCAACGTGATTAATATGCATCGATAATTGTAATAAATTAATGACGCGAATTTACAATGATGTTATGATGATTCAATAACGAAACTATTTAATAACGAGCTAGGTGAAATATAGGCGTCGTGCATTTACGATTAACGCGAACTTGCACGAATGGAAGCACTCCTTCGAGAAGTTCAATGTCAATTTAACATTCATCGTTATCCTAATTATGTGACTTATATCCATAAAATATATCCATGATGAGATTCAGTTTCATTGCCGGTGCGGCGGAGGACAAACGCATTCGCCGTCTAAGTGATCCTTAAGCCATCCCATGTAATTTGTTAGTTTGGTGTATATGCCTGGGAAATTCGGCCTGGCGCATCCGCGTCCCCACGAAATTAGTCCTGTGTACACAAATAATATGTACGTTGTGTTTACTAGTAATAGTGTTTAGTAATAATAATTCAAACCTCTGTTAAGATTAAGTAATTAATTATAAATTTTCGATTTAATTATACAGAGGATATTTTGACAGATATGTTTAATATACAAAATAAGGAAGAAAAAAAGACCAATTAACATTTTAATATAAGAATATAAATAACGGGCGGAATCTTTGCTTGGATTTCATTTCTGAATTTTACGTGAAATTATTTCGCATATATATATATATATATATATATATATATATATATATATATATATTATAATTACCTATTAATTCGAGGTGTGCGTTACTTCCTTTAACGTGAAGAGGACCGCCACTGTCACCCTACAGACAAGAACGAAGTCATAATAGAAAAGGAATTCGCACGCGTATGAAAATTGTAGTATTTTTACGAATAATTGAATTTTCTTTTTCTTTTGAATTGAATTTTGTTGTTTCTTGTGTATATTGATAATCAATTACGATAATGTCTCTAACACGATTTACAAATAAATCGTTTATCTGCGCAATGTTGAACTTTCATATTATATGATTTGTTTACCTTCATATTATATGATTTGTTTACCTTCATATTATATGATGTTATATAAATTATTTCTGCTAATTGAATTTCCAAGTTGCGTGAATATATGTATGCATTCTCTCTTACTCGCGGACACTTCGTGGAAAGATATTAGCTGTGTTTATACACATTTCCGCTGAAACTTACGAAACAAGCGTCCCCGCGTTCTCCTTCCAGGTAGCCGGCGCAAAACATATTTTCTGTGATGCGATTTTTTGCGTATCCAGCCTGATCGCATTCTTCTTGTGACAAGATCGGTAGATTAACTTTTCGCAATTCGTCACTAACTGGTTTTGCCTCACCTGTTCTACCCCATCCAACCACCGTGGCTATAGCTCCGGTGTAATCAATGGCTTCTGTAATCATTTTATAATTTTTAATTATTCCCATGAGTCGTTTTTTATCGATGAATACGGATTTCATTGGCGTTAAGTTGTAAAATTTTTTTTTTGTCGGTGTGGCAGGCAGAATTTCCGTTTAGAAACGCGCCACAAATGCAAAATTTAGTCATCTGATATTGTTGATGTAATATAACTTTATTTAACAATCAGCGTTCTCTGTTTGATGAATCATAAACGTCAAAAATAATTAATTACCAAATTTTATTGGTGACATTCAGTGATATTTATCTATCTAGGGACAGACTGTCGAATTTCTGTCGTATAAATCTCGCGAAGACAAGCTTGCTATTTTAGGACATCGAAACTGCCTATTTTGCAACTTTGTTGGTGTCTTCATTATGATAGGATAATCAACGTATGGATGGGCTTCGCGTGAAGATGATAACACGGGTATGCGATACATGCGAAGTACAGAGAAGTACGAAGCGTATGCGTGTCACGCTTGAAGAGGTACAATTTTTCGAACTTCGACATCGTATGATGTCGTATGATCATATAATTGAGTCACATGATCTATGTAGGTTACGTTCTACTACGTCTTACGATCGAATACTTCGCAGTGAAAGCATTAATTTTACGCAAGAGGCGATAGCAATTTGCGCTATGTAATTTGCAGATTGTTATTCGGGTATATAAACGAAACGACGGTGTTTGTTCGTGTCTATCATAAGTTACAGTTTAACACGTTCGCCACCATACGTTAGATTTGGAAAAGTCCTATCACGCCTTCTTGAGTAATTTTGAAGAGCGATGGTGGCGTGTGTGTATTTTAATTATGGAGAAGAGGAAGAGATGTATATCAGTTAGGGAAGGCTAATCGGTGCTTTGCGCACGCATGACATGGATCTCACTCATGAGAATGATAAAACGAACGTGATAGACTCAACAGGAAAGATGACAGAATATTCGATCAATGAATGTTCTGTTGATTGATGAAACCCGAGCGCTGAATCGAACGCGAGATGATAAATAACCCGTTAATATCGCGAGATAGCTTACTGTTTTCGGGTAGACACGCCGTTCGCACAACACCGTCCACCGGCACGGGATAATCCATCTCTATAATCGCGATGTCATTGTTGAAAGTATAAGCATGGAAGTTCTCGTGGATCGACGCGGATTTAATGCGTCGCACTATGGCGTTGCTACCTATCGAGGGACGGTCGCTGTCCGCCAAGAACAGTTTGATGGTCTTAATGTCGAACCTGAAAATCATTTCAGCGATAACATCGACGTAATATCGTCTGCGTCATTGCACATAACTTGTCATCTGCGTCATTGCGAAAACGAGAAATCCATATATATATATATATATATATATATATATATATATATATATATATATATATCATATTATCCGCAATGTATCCGTTCAATACATACCCTTCGAGGCAGTGAGCCGCTGTGAGAACATGCCTGCGTGATATTATGCTGCCGGCGCAATAAAACATTCCTTTCTTCGTCATACTGACTAACCAGGGGTACTCATAGATGCTCGTCACGTTGCCGCCAACGATCCTTGTTTTTCTTCCAACCCCGCAAACTACAAAACATCGACGCATTCAGGTGTATTATAATCTGAATGATCGTCCATCAAAGCGAGCGAGCGAACGCATTATTAGTTCATTGTTCGCAGCCAATTAACTGACGCGTGCTCCAAAGGATCTCATTCATGAGTTTCGAACGAGTTTTTGAAATAGTTTATCTGCGAATCTGATGCAAACCTCCAGTAAGGTCCGTAAGATCCAGGGGACCTCATAAACGAGATTCCCTGAACGTCAATCTGCGTCATCGCGTGTTAGGTCGTGGCATTCTTATTTGAAATGGTACAGACGGAAAACCCGGCTGCGCTTAGTCATCACTTTACTCCTCACGAGTGTGAATGACTTCATAATATTATTATGCTTTCTACTTCACTACACACACAATGCTCGATTACAGTGGTTTGCATCTCAACTCAAGCGTATGCACAGCTACGATTTTTTGATATAGAAGTAGTTATCAATTATTATATTGGGTCACGCACGTGTTCGCACATTTGTCGCATAAACATGAACAATTTCGTAATTAATTACGTAATTGATTAAGCGCGTTAAATAGCACACTCTTTCAAACGCTTTCGCTCACCACAGTTGTTACAGACATCCGGTCTTGAAGAGGAGGTAGGTGCGGAGTCAAAGTCAACGTAAGACACTTCATCTATCGCCGGACGGACATCGACCTCGGCATTCGTAATATTGTAGTGCACTTGAGCATTCGAGGCAGGAATGTTCTTTAAATTGGTTCGTGGTATCTAGAAAAATTACTCGATATAGCATAAAGGAAGCAAGAGAAAGAGAGAGTGAGAGGAGGAGAGAAAGAAAAAAGAGAGAGAATTTGAGAAATATGCGAAACTAATTATTGTTAACGAATAAATAGATTTTGTATGAATTTGTGCACGGATATGAAGATATTATATAGATATATTAATTGATTAAATCTAATATGTCAGATATTCAAATAAGTTTAGCGATACTTTCACTGCAAAGTGGATGTATTAAAAGATGATCTAATTAAAAATCTAATGATCTAATTGAAAAATGATTCAACGATGACCAGTTTTAAAAATTTTTCTCTGTGTACTCATGAATATATGTAGGTACTAATAATTACTATGCGCTTCGTACCACACTTTGCATTTTGTTGATCCATCGAATAATGATGTAAGTCATGTGTTTTTAGTTCGAGAAAAATTGGAAAAAGATATTCAAACATATTTAAATTCATCTGTTTTATCGTATCCTTTTCATCTCCCCGAAATTTCGATCGACTTTTCACTTCTACCGACTCACATCACTATGACGATATCCGACGTGCGAATAAGAGTTACACTCCACCGCACGATCGTTACCGTTCCTATCATCCGAACACGTACGCGTAATAATGATCATTTAACTCACCACGCGCGGCAGCGCATAGGCGCAAGTGCTCAGGCATAGAAAGAGCGCGCATCTCATCGTCGTTGCGTAGCCGTCCATGCCTCGTGCGTGCGATTCCCGGTGATCCACGCTCGGTCAGCCGGTGTATCCGTAACCGTGAGATTCGGGCCGGTGTGCGCGCCTACACCCGTGGCGTGAAAAGTCTAAAGGTACCCCGGCCCGTTTTGCCGTTTTATAGTAAATTATAACTAATGAAGGAGCCCAGCCGCGTGTCTCGGTGGGGATCGTCAACCTTGAGTGGTGCGTTTGCATTGGCAGATGTTGCATGTGACAGCCTTTAAATCACCCGTTCGTTCGTTCGTTCAGTCGGTCGGTCGGCTTACGCGCCCGTTGTCTCACCTGCACACAGCCACGCCGCGCCGGTACAGGCACAATGAGAAGTACGCGCACACGTGTGTACGTGTACACGCGCGCACGCATATACAAACATACGAGCTGTACACGAGCGCCGACGGTATATGGCGCAATCGACCGCCGACCACCACGAACGTTCCAATGTCAACCCGGTCCTCCTCTCCCGCGGCGATCCTTCCTTTCAGGGATCCACCGAGACTGGATCAATGTCAATTTCGTCAGCGGACGAGCGCGAAAGTTACCGCAGTTGCTCCGGTTCATTGTCGCGATGGATGATGGCGATGGTGTTGATGATGAGAGAAATAATGAGAGGATGATGATGATGATGATGATGATGATGATGATGATGATGATGATGGGACATTGTCGCTGATAGCTCGTACGCGCGACTCGGTTAATTGCAGGGGATTTCACTCGTTACGCCTGGTGCGAGGCGTGTTGTCCCTCAAATTTCTCATTTCCACCGCCGGATTTCGCGGTACCAAATCATACTTTCATCGAGCTCGACCGCGCGTCCTCCTCGAAGAAAGTGATTCGTAGCGCGGGCTTTTTGCGCGCGAACGGATGTTGCTCGTCGTCGGGGTCTGTTTGCGTTGCGGCGTGCGTACGATAATAACTTAGCGTTCGCGTCTGTGTCCAAAGTGAATTCAAACGAAACAAAAGTTGACTGAAATTGATCGAGCATATAATTCAATTCTCTACGCAAGTCGGCGCTACAGATCTCCCGATAAGCTAATCATCTTTGAAGCGCGCTTTTGCAGTTTTATTTTGACAAACTATCAAAAACAACGTTGATTCAACGAAAGTTCCTATTAAATTCATTATACTGCAGACTTAACTCGTACATTTTTTCAGAGAATGGCACAGTTCCGCAGCGTTAATAATGTCAAAGTGGAAAATCTTCTTAGAAAGAGGGATGAGAAAAAATTGTTAATTTCGATATATGTTAGCCCGCAGTTGTTTTATCGGGATTTTCTCAGAACTTCTTGACGCTTGGTAGTCCATCGGATGGCATTGCGGTTTCCATCGGGTCGACGTAGCGGTGGTTTAGCTTTGCCATCAAATTCGTCGCGCTAGAACGAACCCACGATGGCCGGAAAAAAGAATTTATACGGTTTCCTTGGGCCGTTTGCTCACTACAGTCGTAAAGAAGCGATGAGTCGGCGAGTAATAAAGCCTTCGATTTATCAAGGCTTGCCGTCGTGGGAGGAAAACACGTTTGAAAAGAGCTCACACGATGAAGCGCGCGAGAAACGACGCGACCAATAAGGTCGTCAATTAAAAATGTCGCAATTTCCCCGGCATATAAATCCGAATTAGTTCCGCATCATTTAACCCTCGCGCACGCTCGTTCATCAGGACGCACGGAACATCGTTTCACCTTTTGCGACGGCAACTTATTAACTCACCAGTAATTTCGCTTTCACTGCAAATTATGTGGCCCGCTTGTAATATTTATTTGATGCGAAAATTGGCTTCTCCAGGAGAGCCATGGCAATGCATTGTGTTTCTCTCTCTCTCTCTTTCTCTCTCTCTCTCTCTCTCTCTCTCTCTCTCTCTCTCTCTCTCTCTCTCTCTCTCTCTCTCTTTCTTTCTCTTTCTCTTTCTCGAGACGTTCACGGCAAAAGTCGCAAACGAGACGAACCTTTCGACTTTAACTTCCCGGTCGCACCTCACTCATGTGTCATCACGTACTCTGGGGAATTGGAACTGTTTCTTGCCAATTATCTTTATTTCGTCAATTACATTACGCTGCAAGTATATTACGGTAAGTTATAAATAAAGTTGTAGCAAAAAAACATTCGAATGAATTATATTGCGGTGGCTGTCTCTTATATAGGACTTAAAGGATAGAAGAGGGTTAAATATAGACGGCAATATAATTGGATTACTTGACTACCCCTGTTGGGGTAGCGACGTGTTAGAAAAGGACGCAGAAAATATTTTAGCCAAAGGCGTTAATTAGATTTGTTATGTGACTCTAGTTAAAATATATATTTCGCTTTTTTTATTTCTCATCTTTTCTTTTGTGTCTTGTCCTCCCGTTTCGTAACCACTGCAACATAATTATAATTGTAAAAACTTTTCGCACTTCTTGAATTAAGAAGAATTAACTTTATATTAATATCCTAGGATATTACATGTCATTGCTCTTTGCTTTAGCCGCGATAACGAACTCGCGGCAAAATGATTACATCGCGGATACGATCTGACCCTGAAGACATACGCAAAATAAAGCAAGGCTCTTGATAAAGCTAGACACATATCGAGACAATAAGGCGATGCGTCTCGCCCGCATGAGGGTCTCGTGACCTATATACCTTGACCTACTGTCACAGGTTACAGCTGGTGTACAATCTCTCGCCTTGCCGCAATCTTATCTTGTTTGCTTAGCAATAATCGAAGTCGCGATAAATCGGGCCAGAGTGGGAAAACGAACGTGTAAAAATAACGACGAAGGTGAGGACGAGGACCCGTCCGAAAGGTGTCGAGTATCACGTGCCGGCGCTTTTATGTACTTCGTGATTGTGGTGTATAACGTGACACGTTTACGCAACCCGTCATCGAATATTTGCGCTACTTTTTTGTGTTTTTAGGCAAACCAAATGCAAATCGCTGCGGGAGAATCGTTCAACTCTCTCGAGTACACCGGAGCTTCAAAAGTGAGTTGTAGAATGTGTTGCTCAATATTCGTGTGCGTGCTGGTATACGTGTAAACTTACATGCACAAAAGATACTAGTTCTCTCACGTTAGTGCGTTATATTATCGAAGAAGGTACTTTGATGTTATCGCGACACTCGTTAAATCTCGACTACGACGACTCGCCTGTCGAATCTAATTTAACCTGTTGAATACTTGTGTTGAATCTTTTTGCTCGAGAACAACAGATATTGTGTGAATAAAGAACGATATAGAATGATAGATAATATGTATTTTTTCTTTGACTGTCTTGACTGACTTTGTTTTTCTTGGGAATGTCAATAAAGCAGTTTTAAAGCGACAAGATTTCAATAATGTGATTTACGAAGAAAAGACTTCAGTAAAATTTACATATTGTAGAGAGATGTATAACTTCTTTCGCGTAATTCCGTCCGAGCTTTTTCCGCGAATGGCACTTCTAACACATTACTTTTAACTGGGACGTACGTTTTTGCCCTTTTTTTGTAACGGGAAGAGAAATCACGGGAGAAAGAGGAAGGAGGGATCGTCACGCACCATCTTTGGCGAACCGGTAGTAGGTTTATTGGATCTCTTGTATGCTCACGATGCGGTTTATTCACGACAAGATTTGCATACCGCTAGCCTAAATTTTCCCTCCTGCCACTCGTCCGTCCACTATTCCGTATAAATAAAGACACCGTGACACCGAATCGACGACTTGTGTGAAAGTGTATGCCGTCTCGGCAGGAAGTGCTGTGGATCAGTTCGAATTAATACATCCCGTGCCTCGACCAGACAGAAACGCGGCGGTGTGTTTTCAGTGTTCATATTCTCGCGACGCATCATGTTAATTCGATTTATATTATTACTGACGTTCACCGCGCTTGCGAGACCAGCCGCCGTTGATAATGAGGTATCGTCGCTATTTCATTAATATGTACATAATGTAACCAAGTTACGTAGTCGGCTATGCAAGATACATTTGTTTAACGTAGATACTTTGATCATAAGTAAGTAAAAGACGAATATTTCAAATAACAGTTGCAGTCAAAATCGACGGCTCTTCCTTCACGCGAGAAGGAGCAGATCTTAAATAGCTCAAATAAGACTGCATCGGTCGACAATGACAAGGGATTGGTAGACTGGATATACGACATTGTGGTACCAAAGCCACCGACAATAACTGAACCGCCGCAAACAATAGATCAAACAACATGTCCAAAGTGCAGTACGTTTGATTTCCTTTCTCTGTTTACACGTAATTTATTGTTTTTGAATAAAAAGGTAAATGTTATACCAACACGAAAGTCTTTAGGGAACTTAGCAGACAAACATGTACATGTACATACACGCGTATATTAATTATTTTTTATACCAACATTCAATTGTTGTTAATAGAACACAGTACATGTCTCAAAATCTTCATGCCTTACCATTGTCTCAAATATTAGCAAGACTCCTACATAAAGATTATAAATATAAAACTACGGTATACATTACAAGCAATCTCGAACAATTAAATGCTACTTGATGGATTCGAAACTATGTTCATATTGACAGTCATGGCAAAAGATTATATTGCAATATAAGTAAAACAATTGAGATTTGTAAGTATGTATTGATAAACATCGCCGTAAAATCGTCACTTGCTTCGACATGAAGGAGATAGTAGGATATCCTTACCAATATTAACCCGTTATTTACAGCTTGCGGTTTGGTAAACAAGCAGAATCGTATTGTCGGGGGAGTCGAGACTCTGGTCAATCAGTATCCCTGGATGGGCATGTTGCTGTATAGGGGACAGTTTTATTGTGGTGCCACGGTCATAAGCTCGCGATATCTGCTAACCGCTTCCCACTGCGTCAACAGGTGACTTTTTTCTTCTTGGCAATTTGCGATCGTCTTCGAACGTGCGAAATAAGTCTATATGAGCAACATGCAATCGGTTAGACTCTTCTTCTTCTTCCTCACAGATTCGATTTGAATCAAATGACTATCCGGATATTAGAACACGACAGAAATTCGACCACTGAGAGCGAGACGCAGGAATACAAGGTGGAGAGTGTGATCAAACATAGCGGTTACTCCACTTTGAACTACAATAACGACATTGCGCTCATTAAGCTGAAGGATTCTATCACGTTCCAGGGCACGATGCGGCCTGTCTGTCTTCCGGAAGCAGGTTAGTTTAAATTACGACGATTACGAAATTTATTTCGTATCTGTTAAGCTGTAAATAAATATATAAATAAAGTAATTAATTTTATCTGTCGAATAATATTCATTGGATCGGCCGAGAAGCCGCGTCCTAAATCTTACAAATGTACGTAGTGGTTGGATAATTGTCACTTTAAAATTGAAAGAAGTGATTATAATTATAATTCGTTTACGCATTAATCATTTCAGCGAGAACCTTCGCCGGTTCGAAAGGTATTGTGACCGGATGGGGCGCTATTGTAGAAGCCGGTCCGGTGTCGCAGACTTTACAAGAAGTGACCGTTCCTATTATCTCCAACGCCGAATGCCGTGCCACGAATTATCCGACGCGTAGGATCACGGATAACATGATTTGCGCCGGTTACAAGGAAGGTGGCAAGGATTCCTGTCAGGTTAGCAAAAACATTCACGCTCTGGATTGTAAATGATTAGAGTCGTAAATTCGCGCGGAACAAATGATGACGTGAATTTTCACGCTGCAGGGAGATAGCGGCGGACCATTGCACGTGGAGGAGGATGGCTCCCACCAGATAGTAGGTAAGTTCAGCTAAAAATTGCGTGGGTTATTTCATTTGCGCGACACGCGCGCAACTCGGAAAGTTGTCGGTTGTAAAAGAAAATTTGTGCGCGTAAGCCGGCGAGGTGAGCCAAACGAGTTTACAGAGAGAAATTCCTCAATTTTCCAGGAATCGTATCCTGGGGCGAAGGGTGCGCTCAGCCCGGATACCCTGGAGTTTACTGCAGAGTGAATCGATATCTCACATGGATCAAGCGCAACACAATAGATGCTTGTTATTGTTGATAACACAACGTGTTGATATGCAGACTGACGTATTTATTTTATTTTAATTACACGTGTGATAATAATATATCGAATTAACTTACACACGTTTAATCGACAATGACGGAGACCGTGCCGCATCGCTCGGTCGAAGAGTGTATTGTGAGATATTTATTTATAAGACGTATTACTTTAGTCGTCGTTACAATGTTTTATACGATCGTGTATGTAACACAATACGCGCTTTATGCTTTTATCGTACACATTTCATACACGTAAGTGTAATTTATAAGTATATTCGTACACATAAGTGTTGCACGCAGACAATGATACTTTAAACTTAAGGCACGCACTTTGCTCCCCGCTGTTCGGTCGAAGCCTGCGATATAGAATACTCACAAAGGAGGAAAGTCGCGAGACTTTCTCTATTCATTTCAATCGGACGACGTGGAATTTCGGTGAAAACTCACGTACATTTCGTCTACTACTCGTAACACCGCTCGTATTACACGGTGAATAGATGATAATGTAAAATGCATTTCTTGTTATTGATATGTACAAATAAACTTTTTGGTTTCAACAACAATTCTTTTTTCTCTACTGAAATATAAAACTCTATTTACTATCTATCTACTACGCGGTCAAGGACTGAATGTATGAGTATTTATACGAATCGAATTTCGATAACTGTATTTTTCGATAAAACATCTTTGTATTCGTTTTAATGTTAAAGTCTTATGTGTAAGTCTTATATATTAGTGACTAGAAGACCTTCGACTACTGCGTCTTCGTCATCCGACAAGCCAATCTCTTCTTTCGCGCCGTCGTTTATCGCGGATTGTAACCAGTACGTTTCCATGTCTCCTTTTCCCTTTATATGATAAATGTTATTGTACGTAGTAAAGAGCATTGCCGATTATTGTGTGAAGATTTTTATAATACGAACCTTGACCCACACAACGCCACGCGATTCCGTACGATAACGACCCTCAGGTAACAAAGCTTTGGTGCTGGAAGAAATGTGGACCTTCCCCGTCTATATCGTGCAGCGCAATAAAACAAATGATAAGAAAAATTTCCTGTACAGTTTGACGTATGCTGGTCATTAATCTTACAAGAATTATCTCCATTTAAATGAACCAGAACATATTGCAGAAATGTCAAGTTTGTGCTTCATTTATATGTAGAAAAAAATAAATTTCTACAAATCTCTCGACTTAAAAAAAATCACAGACAGTGTATTTGTATACATGACTATGTAAAAGTGAAAAAACTCGGTTACCAAACTAGTGGTCTGCATTCTGGAAGCTGTATTAACGGTATCCCCGAAGAAACAGTACCTCGGCACTTTGATGCCGACCACGCCGGCGACTGCTGGTCCGGAATGGATTCCTGTAGCATCGCGGGAGGAATTCTGTTATTTCTCGATTGGATGAGAGTGGGTTTACACTGCGTACCGATGATCGTTACTCTTTGCAAAAGTAAAATTTCCCGCGAGCAAACTCTCGAAGGTCGCGAGCAGAAAACTTGATTCGAAAGTTCAACGGCTCAATGGTTAGGTTACCTATACGGATCCGTATGTCGAGTCCAGAGGGTAATTTGAGGGATCGGACGTGCTCGATAAGCTGCAGGGAAACATCGGCGATGTTCTGTGCGTGATTTTCGTTTCTGTCCGGCGCCCCGCTAGCTGCCATGTACACGCGACCCACAGTCTCCACCTGTTACGACAAATTCGCCGTGAACCGTAAATACAACGTAATTGCACATGTGCACGCACTTGTAAACGTAGCCGCCGTTGTGTCACGCAATAATCGTATTTCGAAATAATCGTCTGAGCTATCTCCGCAAGCGCGGCGAAATGTTTTATCTTTTATTGCAAGAAACTTTTCAAAGGTCACGTAGAGCGAATCGGGAAATGTTTAGCGATTTCAGTGGGAGAGATGCGTAATTATCGACTTTACTTTGTATACGTTGAACTGATCCATCAGCGTGTCGAAGCAGGAGAAAACCGCGTTCATGGACGAGACGATGTCCATTGCCCCTTCGATGGTCGAGTAATCGAAGTCGCATAATTCGCAGAAGAGAACCGTGATTGACTCAAACGACTGCAAACAATTGTGCTCCTCTATAGTTGCCAGGGAGATGACTAAGAATTTTGCGAGCATGTTTGCATACCTCGCAAGTGCTCAACGGACTAGCTCCAGCTCGCAATCGATCCGCCACCGTTTGCGGGATCATAGAATACAAAAGCTCGTCGCTTTTATTTTTCCAACGGTCCAGCAGCGCGTAACTGTCTTCCAGTTCCGTCGACCTTTGTTCAGCCCTCTCGAACATCATCTCCAATCTTTGGATAAACAGCATAAATGGCGCGCGCGAAAAATCGTGTGTAAACCGAATTTTCCAAAGTAATCATCGAGAACGAATTTAAGATATAGAAATTTGCTAAACTTGCTGTAAACGTGAACACGGCATGTACAACAATCGTAAATGATATTCACAGTGAATATATAGCGCGGCCAAGTATGATAGGAACATTTCTCTTTGTGTAATATTTCGATTTTAGATTGAGATCTAAATTTGTGTAAAATCTAAATTTTAATGAAAATGATTCTGAAATGATTCTTGTTGAGTCGGGGATTCTCAATAGCCATACCTTCCACAATGTTGCCATCCTGCCAATACTAGTTCCTTGCTCATACCATGAGGATTTAGATCGTTCAAGTACAGACCCATGTTAAGAAGCTCGTCCAAACTGTTTATTCTGTTAGATAAAGAGAATCACCAGTATCACGAACTTGTTGTTCAGTAGCAAATACAATTAAAACGAATATCGAGACTTACAAAGGGCTACAGAGAAATATAATCGCCTTGATATCTTCGATGTATCTCATTTGACCCTTTAGCAAGATGCTCCGTGCACCTTGACTGCCACGCCTGTCTAAACTGCTGCTCGTGCTTGGTGTATCGCCTGAATTTACCACCGTGTGATGATCGTTCGCTCTAATGAGTTCTAATTCGAATATCACTGAATGTAAATACATTACCTAAAAGTGTATGTGTGCATGAGTTTATAAATCTCCGTAAGCGTGTCGCGGGATCATAAAGGAAAAAATGGCCCCCAAGGCTAACGTTATTTTACAAGAATTACTTACATTACCCCACGTAAACGAAATTCCTTTAGGTCTTCTCAATTTGAAGACTTCCGTGACATGCTTGCTTAAAATGGACGTCGTGCCACCCCAGGCTTGAAGCAACTTATCACCCGCTCCCAAAATTCGCATTTCTTTATTCATTACTACGCCAAATGGGAAAAGGCGTAGGAAAAATGTGCAGGAAATGGGTGGCAATTCACGACCTAGCGGAGTTTTCATTCTGTTGTTCTTCGCGATCTGACGATTTCCAGTGATGTAATGCACAGCGATCAAGGTTGAACGTTAAATTCATTATAAATGCTTCAGTTGTGATTAGTTGTGTGGAAAATTCGATTCAAAGGTAAACGGTGAAGATTTTCTAGTTGTAAATTTTCTGGTTGGAAATAATATGGGGATTTAAGTTTGAACAAAATTCACACTTACGTATTGACAATTGTCGAAATCGATACGGAACTTAACCATCACGTTCCGAGATCCCGGAATGTTGTTGGAAGTTTCTAGCACTCTAATATTCAATTCTGTATCATACAGGTCTTTTGCTATTTGAAATAATTGTCCTGCGAGCAGAGTAGACAATTTTACAAGCGTCATTGTGGGATCCAATTGCATAGAATACAATTTCGTTTTCTTTAGTGGAATATTCTCAAAAATGTTTCCACAAATTAAACGGGTCGAAAAAATCAGTCAGTTCTTACCCATAAGATAATGTGTGAAACCTTGCCGAGTACTTCTATAAACTAATACGACTCCCTGTGGATCCACATGTGTTGTATACATGGAGGGACTCTTCATCTTTGGATATGTGAATCTCATTTGCATGTGAATGTTGTCAACGCTTTGCAGAAAGTCGCAAAAATAACGACCAGTCGCTTTCACGGTGCAATCGTATCTAATAAAACAAGCTGCGCGTGAAATGCAAATTTTATCGGTTTTTACATAAACCGCAAGTGCTTCCAGTACGCAAGGAAATGCACGGGGGTGGATAACTACAATCAAACAAATCAACGATTCGTTTAAATACGTATTCGATTTTTGCCAACGTGAGTCAGCGTTTTTGCCCTTTAAAAATAACTAACTTCGGAGTTACATCTCGATTTTCCAGCCGCTTCAACCCTCCGTGCTCGTAAAGTGCGTATAATTGAAAGCAGAGAGCTGACGTGCTCAGATTTGGCGAGCAAAATCTGAACTCGTGCTCAACCGTTTTACTCAGCAAGATATAACGATATAAATATAAAAACATAATTTTTTAAAACTCCGAAACTACGTTCTTCCTACAAGAAGACTCGACATATATGTTATAGAACAATCCTTTGCGTTCAAAGTTAAACAGAAGTTTAGTCTGACTAAGTTAGTAGATTCGTGTTCGATAAACGTGAACGATATATATTTGACTATTTGTGATTTGTCGCACGAGTACTATAATAGCTTGCTTAGCACGCAGACTGAATATCGCGGGCTGATTGCCGGCAACACGTTACGATAGTACATCAATGACCACATTTTCTTGTGATCAATACAACGGACACGTACATTTAACGACTGTTTGCGATGGCAGTTAATGGTGTTCCAAGAATTGTACATAAAACTGATCGTAAAAGCTTTTGAATTTCTTCAAAACAAAATTATCGAGGCAAACGCAGGCGAGAACTATCGATCATCATCGTCGCTTAATTTACAATTCATAGAAAGTAATACGGCAAATTCTTATTGTTAATAATATATGTTTTCATGCTGTTTTCTATAACAGAAAACTTACCCCAGATTACTGAAAAATCTAACGAAACACCTGCCGAAAAATTGCATAATGTTATCCATGGAATCGCCAGTGTACGCAGCGAGAGCTGCGGCTAAATTGGTCATCAGCTCGTCCGAATATGTCTGTCTGGTATTAAAAACCATGTGTTTGCAATCAGCTTTCTCCAGAATATGACACCATATCTTATCGCCGAATTCTAACTGTAAAAAGATATTTTAAAGTTGCTACATTCTCCTTACCGATTTATTACAAATAAGATATCTCGAGGGGGAGAGATAAATTTAAATATATATATATATATATACAAATACAGGCTTAATATTTAATATTAAAGTGCAAATTGAATTTTGCATTTTGTTGAGAAACAAATCGAATAAAACAAAATTCAAACACGCAAATGCAAGAAATATTTCGGGTATGGAATATTACACGTTAATGGAAAGCGCATCCATGCAATATCTTGATTATGTGCCGGATAATAGGTTTCATAGGTTTCTATTAAATCGATACGGATAATCGAGCCATTCACTCTAATCTCTGGAGGCCAGTAAATGTTTCTTTTGTTGGGAAGAGAAGAGACCACGGAAATGAATATGTGTTCTTTAATGAGAAAAGCTCTTAGAAACCATATCGTAAATGAACACGCAAATTTACAGAAGTGTCTGGATGAACGATTAGCTGTACGTATTATTTGTTCCGAAACTCTTTTGTTTTTCACAAAAAGATGCGTGTAAAGGTTCAAGAGATATTCGATGAATTTTCAGGAATAAGTAAATTTTCGCAAAGAAATTTAATTCATTGCAAAAAACACATAAAAATAAAATAATGAAATTTTTATGACGATTTTAATAATGGTGAAAATTAACAACTCATTAATTTGTATGTGTAATATGTGCAAATATATGTGTAAATTATAACTTGTTCAAATCTGCATCGTTATTTTTATATTATGCGACTATGAGCACAGTGATATTAAAGAGAGGAAGCGAGAAAAATATGAGCAAGACATTACCAAAACAATTCAATAGTTGTCCTTACATGCCTGATCGAGCGTTGCTATTTTTAAAACCTCGTACAATTAAGGTATCGAGTTAAGAGGAAGTTTAAGTCCATACATATTCAAGTACTTCGTTTATTACATATCTATGCGTTTCCTTCGGCGAGTACGTGACACACGTTACAAGTGCTTGGATTAATTTGGGACAACCAAAGAATGTAATGAAGCAAAGAAACACATGCTGTGTGCTTTTCGAAATTTTCTCTACTGTTCTAATAGTACAATGTTTGTAAACGTAATATCGTTGCTTGTATTTTGTAATTGATATATTCAACAACTTAAAAAAAAGCAAATAAAGTGAAAACATATAACGAGCTCGATTTATTACACATCTGTCATATTCATATGAAGTTTATTCCCCGAATCGAGAAGCGCACTGTAAACTGAACACACACATAAGGGAGTAAATACCAAATCGATATTATATGGATATATTTTCTCTATTAAAACCTTACTGCGCACAACTGTCGGGAAACCCAATATTTGTATTATTTCCCAAATTACACACTCTGCAAATAAAGGCGATAGAACTCTCTATTTGAGCAGCGATTGGTTGTGTTTGCGGAAGTGCTAAATAACGATCCCGTATGATACACTAAGACTGATATGGAAATTAAGATAGCTGATTTCGATGATAATCTTTATAATGGAATCTGCCCCGCCACTTGAGATAATTACTTAATCCACAGTACCAATTAAAGCTCCATCGTGTGTGCGTATGTGTAATCGTAGATGTACATGCAATTATCGGAGAGCGCCGATAAATTGTGCCATCTAGCTTAACGTGGGAAATTAAACACGCTGCGGATCGACGAGTTTAATTTTGGCTTTGCTATCTCGACCGAAAGACAGTCCGAAATTACAGATGGGGATTCGAGATAAGCCTATTCGCCGTGTTACTTCCACATACCTAGCAATTGAATGGCTCTTTCGCTGCGTACAGTTCATTAAAGTGGGTGACTAACGAACGCGCGATTAATCTAGATCTGCAAAATGCGAAACACACCACGAATATTTCAGCTGTTTGCGATCCGGGTTACGCATTAAACGTTTCTCTGATCGTGATAAATGTTTTCTTTCGTCGTCAGACACTTTTTCTTAAAAAGTTAGCTACCCAACGGCGAAAAAACGACCTGAGATGGGTTTTATTAATATCTGCTAAGTCGGAAGATAAATGTCCCGTGGCGCAAAAACGAATCGATCACGATATTTCGTTCACGTTAACGCGTGAAACGACTGCGGAGACCAAGCTCTAAACCTAACTTTGTTAAGAAAAGAAAGAAAAAGAGAATAGAGAGGGGACCATATGAGTTATCAAGTAAAAGAAACAGACGGATATTTCTGAATGCAATTGTGTAAGTTCTCGTGTACACGTGCTTTCATCAGTACAGCATCCGCAACTTCTAAGATCGAGTATTTCTAGCAACAGCTGCATCGCTCCGTGAAACTTGCGCGAGCTGTGTTATTCATAATAAAAATTAGATATTAGAAAATGCGCTAACTTGGAACACCTGTAAACTTTTCAAATTCTTTGTAATTCCTTATCACAAGGCACATTCATAACGTCGGAGACATTCAGAGAAAGACAATATATATGTTTGCTATGTATCTGATGATAATTACATAAGTTATTTCTGAAGTGATCATTATTATTTTCGCGTATTATTATACTGACATTCACATAAAATGATTGATTTACGTAATTAATATCTCTTAATTTATAGATCACTATAACAACATAAAACGTCAACCCATTTTCTTTCAAAAATATCAAAATATAATTTTCGCAGTTATTATCATCGAAGAAAATGTACAAAAGTTAAGTAGATGTCCAAGTATTTCGAGTGCAAAGGAAAATTACTTACCATGAAGTAAAAGAAGGAGAAACAAAATCTCGATTCGAAAAAAACAATTTCCCGTGTGTACATTGTGTAAGCAAGATGTGAGACGCGTGTCCCAAGTTAGCTCGAATACACAATGCCATCCCTATTCGCTCGCACTTTACCGACCTGCACAAAGTATTGCACACTTTCCAGCAGCATCCCGTACATCTTGATCAACGCGTTCGCGTATTTTGTTTCACTTATCTAAGGATCCGTTAATTAGATCGCGGAAGTTCCCCGCCGACAGTCTTATGAAAAGGTTTCCCTCGCAATCTTACAGCACGCGCAGAGCGAAAAACCCCTCGTCTCACGAAGCCCGCCCCAGCGCTATCGCGGCGCTCGGAAGACAAGTGTCCCGTGTCGCTGGGGTAGACCTCTGGTACCCGGTGTCATTTGAACGTTAGGCCTCCCTCAGCGCACAGCGAAGAGAGGGAAGTCAAGTTGGCTGAATGGCGCGGAAGATCGAGTTTCGACTGTGGCCGGTGGGTTACTCAACCTAGCAAGGATGGGTTGGCGAGATCTACGCGATGCGTGCGCAGACCTCATCGCTGTTACGGAGGCGTTCGCACCTGAATGCTCCCAGCGATAAATGCTTGTGAGCAAATTTGCATAATTTGGCCGGGAGAATTTTAAAAAGAAAAGAAAAGAAAAGAATAGGAAGAGAGTTAAGAGCTATCGATAATTCGGATCGATAAGAAGTAACAAGTCAGATATATGAATTTCATAATTAAAGTGTGATGGCATTGCAAAAAGTAACATTATTGTACAAGATTTAGATAATTTGTTTGACTGTGATCGACGGGAACTCATATTTAACAAATATCAATGATATTTGTTTGGTGAAAAAATTCTTAAAAGTATGTTTGTGGGATATAAAGTTTATTTTCTATGAAAAATAAATTTTATGTCCCACGGATAAATTTTAAAATATTTTTTCTCAGTATGGTATATCCAGGTGCCTTTACGATCAATTTTATTACTACCTTCCATATTTTCAGTTAATTTAAAGTAGACTTTGATAGAATTTTAATTTTAATTTGGAATTTAGTTACACAAGAATATACGATGCAAACAACCTCCTCACCAAATGAATGAACTTATTAAAGGATAATTGGGTGGAATACCTAAGAACCTACTCCTCTTGGTGATCTTAACATTTCTATCAATTTCAAGTTTTCTAATTTTATTTAAGAGACATGATAAATTTTTCTCTAAAGTTTTTCATGTTCTCCCTCTTCCTCTCATTGACACGCGATGTCGTCTTGCAGACGGAAGAGAACCACGGCGAGACACGTGCTATCGTACTTCTCGATAAGCCAAGCGAGTGTCATCGACCGCACGATGAGAGCCTAAGATTGCTCCCAGTCATCCGCAGTGTCGCGTTCAACTGAATTTTCGTGATGTTACAGCGGATCTCACAGCGATTATCAGCTCGGCCGTGGTTCGGTAGGCGTGTGTGTGTCGCGTGACGAGACTCCTTACCGCGTGCCGGCAGAAAGAACGGCAGACCCGTTTGCGTCTACATAGAAACGTACATACATGTGTACACGACACACTCGCAGCCGCCCCGGCGGGTCGGTAAATGCGTGCGCCGTCAGCCGACAGTGGAAACGTAAACATGGCCGCGGAGAGTAGCGACGGTTTGCCAATATCCCCGTCCGAGAAATCGCTCACCGGTAGCCTCGTGTCCGACGAAAACGAGAAAAGTGTCTCGCGCTCGCCGTCGAGTTACTCCATACGGGAGGACAAATGGCCGGATCTGGTAGTGTCTAGACCCAGAAAACTGGACGCTTGGTGGCTGCCGAGACGTAAGTCGTAGTACGATAGGTGCATGCTCCGCGATTCCGGCGCGCTTTTTAAAAGTCCGCGTTCGCCGGGAGTAACTCTTGGCGCGCGTGATTATTAGCGTCCGTGTGCACACGTGTCCGCCGTTATCACTGTTCCCTTACTGACAATCCCTCGATACTGTTCAGAGTTTGAAATAATTGAATATCCGCCGCCAAAGTTGAAAAACAAGTTGTAAACGACCGAATTATTTCGGAATTCTCAAAGAAAATGAACGTGTCTACAGGTGAGGCTTGTTGCTTCAAAATAGGCTGAGCAAGTAAGGGCTACGTGAGCCATAAAACAGGTGTTAATACGTAACCAGTCCTTACTCAATAATTTGTAAAGCGAAGCGAGACGACCCACTTTTCAGTAATTTTCAATAGTAATGTTCAATAGATAATACTTCAATAGATAGTATTTCAATAGATAGTGCTTCAGTAAATAGCGTTTCAATCGATAGTACAATGCTATAAGGCAGAACTTATAAATTTATTAGATATCAAGCAGGATCTGTCTGATTTATTGGATATTTATTGGATATCACGTATATATTTATTGGATTGTTCAGATTTTACGCGTCAAGTGCTCAGAGAGCTCCGTGAAAAATAACATAGTTAACGCTTAAAATAATGAAATAGTTAATATTAAAAGAAGAAAGGGATAGCTATAAATGAACAAAATCGCAAATAGTATGCATAGACGTGATGAAATTTAAGGGAAAGAATTGAAAACTGTATTTCTTACTTGAGGTCAGCTTTGACCCAAATATAAACATTACCTTTCGCTTGATTTTCTCTTCGGTATTCCCGTGCAATATGTTCATTAATCAATATTTCTATTTACTGAAGATTATGTTCTCACTATCTCGCAGAGAACTAAACGGAATTGACCCGTTGAGCCGATTTACGCGTTTAATGTTGCATTCTTATCGAACTTGGCACTCATAAACAACTTTTGCAATATGCTAGTTGATTACGATTTCCTCTGAACTATAACTGTTATCATATCAAGCAATAAATGGATTTTCCAACCACATTCGAATACCATTTTCCTGATGATACAACTTTTATTTATTTCATATATGGCACTTCTTTCTCGCTGCGGTTCACGACATGTGCTACGCGAATATCATAACCAACCGTACCAAAAAGAAAAAAAAAGGAAAATAGTTGGTAAGCTTGCATTAACGCGTTTCAGTGCGTATATACAATATTGTATGTATATATAATATTGTATGCATACAACGCAATCAATCAATATATACAACGCAACGCAATCAATAATGTTCTTTCTCTCACAATACATATGCTATCAATTGTTTAATGGTGACGTGGGAATACATAAACGTTGAGCCGCTTGTATCGCTGCATACGTCGTTTTGGAAGAATAATCAGCGTTTACGTTTCGATGCGAGTATGACTCAACCGTAACGTAATTCATAATTATCAATAAACATTGCTCAATTGGTGATTTAAACGGACTTTGCAATAGAATTTGTATGTAACTTACGGAAAAATAAAGCAAATTTTGTAACACTGAAATAAAATTTTGCAGCTTGGACGCGTGATTTTTTGTCAGTCTATGTTCGTTCGTAGAAAGAAAGAGAAAAACTCGCAACTAAAAAAAAATTCTCGCGACACAATTTTATTGCGGGCACAACCGAGGCAGTGCAGAAGCACTACCGTATCGACGGAGTAACACCCAGTGACGGTGGCAGCACCACTTGGTAGTGCGCACTGGCATCCGTATTGATTATCATAGATGGAGACAAAGTCGGCGGGAAAATCAATATCGCATTTCGCCGGCGCCCTCGCTATTTTCGACAAGAAATTTTCTTCGCTCGACGCTCCTACGATTTCCAAGTTATTTCCAAGAGTGTGTTTGAGATTGCAGAGATTATTGATCTCGTTTTGTGAGCAAGTAATCACATAATCGTGGGTATTACGATGTAGTCCTAATCAGTGCGCGCATCATATCTTCTTCAGCCGAGCTCCAGAATTTATTTACCGCTTTTCGTCGAGTAGCGCGACTCGTCATCTCTCGTCGAGGCAATGACAGATCTACTCGTTGTTGATATAACATCGCAACAACGACTAGAGGTGAACATCTGAGACGAGATGAGAAAAAGCAGCACGAAATAGATATAATAACGTATACATATTTTTCTCCCATTGCAAACAACGTAAACTCCGACTGTGCTATACCAACACCTGGTGACTCATCATTGCGACGCATTTATCCATCAGCTGATCGATGCAACGAGAAGAAGAGAATACTTCGGCGCACAGTGCATGGCAAATCACGGAAATAATAACGAACGCGTAGACGTAACGGGGATATATCAAAAAAACAAGCGGACGCGTATTATTCATCAATTATTGACGAACAACTCGTCGAAGATAAGGAGGGCATTCGATATTCGAGTGTGAATTCCCAAGTCAATCTGCGCAGTGAAAGGCTATCGACGAAGGGAACGAGAGTCTATGTGAATCGTCTGCGCTTGTACGAGTGAACGACCACCGGAAGATATCGCATAATCTCCAGGATCGATTGGGATAGTGACAGCGGAGGAATCGTCTTCTATGCGGCAGGAATCCCTGACCGGTCTGAAACTGCGGCCGCCGGGCGATCACGGTGGTGTACATCACGGCGGGGTCATGCTTGAGGAAGACATGGCTGGTGCTCAGGACACGATATACCTGTGCAATTTTAGGGTGTCGGTAGATGGCGAATGGCTCTGTTTGAAGGAGCTCCAGGATGTCGAGTTCTCGCTCCAAGACTCGATGCAACGATCACCATCGCCTCCGCTTGCTCTCAGTGGTATTAATCACCTTCATGATCACCATCATCATCACCATCACCACCACTATCATCATCACCATCAGCAACAGCTTCCCGAGCAACGAGAGCTTCGCAATATAATGCCACCAAGTCCACCGCCATTGCAGCACGTCTCCAGCTTGTGTCTGTACTCGATGTGTTCTCGCACTCGTTTGTTTTGTCGTTTGATCCGGTTTTCTCGATTTCGTTAGGTTGAGCAAGTACTCAATATGTTCCATCGTGATCTTCTTGTCTCCGTCCTGACATAGGGACCAATATTTTCGTACATTCAAGATTGATAAATGAAACGAGATATATATATATTTTTTTTTATTTATTTATTTAATAATAATGGGGATTGTTAGATATCGTATCACACGTCTCTTTATTCCAAATTAGTTCTAGGATCTATCGGCAAATGCTTCGTAGTTGCAATCTTGAATTTTTCGCAGTATGGCAAATTTTTTTTTTTTTTTTTATAGTAGAGAACAATTTTAAAGCAACAGTTTCGATACGTTAACGTAAGGCTTGATAAAAATTAACGCTGTTTATCGCATCGTAATTAAGCGTATCTGCGCATTATACTACCTATAAATTACTCATTGCTTTCTTCGTACGTACTAGAAAAAAAAGCGTTCTCGTTTCCCCGTTACATTTCTGCGCGAGCGTCTTCACGGAATGCACTTCTCTAATAGCAAAACTATTGCAAATCTTTGCTTATGATTGCTCACGTTATTGTTTTATTTATCTTTTATTTTTTTGAAAAAAATAGGATCACAAAATTTATATCTTAGCGCATATCATGCTACGCCGCCATGCATTGATCGAACATTTGAAAAAGCAACGTCTTTACTCAAGAGTACATTCCGGATCGTTGCCGCTGAATCGTTACTGCGAGTCGTTATTCAGTCGGAGGACATTAATCAAGGTTACTGCAAGTTAGAACGGATACGTATTGTTTTTGCAGCACGGGACCCGGTGATCATCGAGAGAAGTAATCTCGTTAACATTTCCAAACTAATCGTCAAGGAGCTGATCGAAACATCCTTGAAGTATGGTCGTATGCTCGATTCCGATCACATGCCGTTGCAACATTTCTTCATCGTTCTCGAACATGTGCTTAGGCATGGTTTACGGCCGAAGAAGGTAAAACACGTAACCGCGATGCGGAGACGGCAAAGTGAATTTTCAAAAATAATACTAACGGCCTCCGATTTCAGGGTCTTCTCGGACCCAAGAAGGAGCTCTGGGACATTCTTCAGCTCGTAGAAAAATATTGTCCCGAAGCGCAAGATATTACATCCAGCATTCGTGATTTGCCTACTGTTAGGTACGGGATTTCCTAAATTTATATGATTAATCTATATATTTTTTATTTTTTTTATTTGACTAATACGTCTAATGTTCTCATTTTCAATAAAAAACATATGTATGTCGAATAATTCTTATTTTATCAAATAATTAACATTCGACTACTATTTCGCTTTTTATAGTTATATTTTCTCATCGGTATTGAGATTTTTATTATCGGCGTCGAGAAAAAAATGTCGAGTTTATCGCTACTGGTTCGTTGATTGGCAATTGTATTAATCGAACGATTCATTGCACGCGATTAGAAGAGCTTTTAATAATCTTTTGATACCTCGGTAATCGGCAACCCCGTTTTTGCCATATGGTATTTTGAAGCTACTGCTGTTTTACAGGACGGCTATGGGTAGGGCTCGCGCTTGGCTTCGTATGGCATTGATGCAAAAAAAGTTAGCAGACTATTTGAAAGTTCTGATAGATCACAAGGATGATATTTTGTCGGAATACTTTGAGCCAGACGCTCTCATGATGAGCGAGGAGGCAATCGTGGTGATGGGTTTATTAGTGGGATTAAACGTGATCGATTGCAACTTCTGCGTAAAGGTCAGTCTGCATTAATATTGTGCATGCGTGGTCGCGCACGCGAAAGCGTGATGACACGCATTTGATAAGAAAGAGAGTAACAGCTTAAGCCAGCATTGATCGTAACTGTTGTGACAGGAGGAAGACCTCGATTGTCAGCAGGGCGTAATCGACTTTTCGTTGTATCTACGTAACAGTAATCACATACCCGGCGAATCTCCAGACGACGAGCTCGAAAACGACAACATGACCACGGTGCTCGATCAAAAGAACTACATCGAGGAACTCAATCGACACTTGAAGTAAATATCTCGTCACCCCCTCGAATTTCGAATCCGTCGTTTATACTCGAAACTCATGTGTTTCGCGGTGATTTTAGCGCGACGGTGACGAATCTCCAAGCCAAAGTAGAATCTCTAACGACAACGAATGCTCTTATGAAAGAAGATCTCGCTATCGCTAAGAATAACATCCTATCGCTTCAAGACGAAAACAGGCAGCTAAAGAAGGAACTCGGTATCGAGGTTAAAGACGCGAATGAGGTACATACGGTTGTTGGAGTTGCGTGTTACGTACGGATTGTGCTATTACTGAAGGATCTCATTTCAGAACGGAAAGGCACCCCTTAAAATAACAGAAACTACAGCGGAAATGGAAGAACTTAGAAGCAGATTAGAATCTGAAAAGAAATTTCGGCAAGATCTGGAAAAAGAATTGGAGTTACAGGTGGATAAGAATTGTCTTCTTGCACACAGTGATACTATTTCTGTATATATCCGTGCAAATAGAAAACACAATTTTTTTTTACACGCGCGATACATGGATTTACGGAGATATATGTACGGATACATACGAGGATTGATCGGTACTTTTACTTTCGTTTGTTTCTTCATACAGATTAGCATGAAGTCCGAAATGGAGGTAGCTATGAAGTTGTTAGAGAAGGATATACACGAGAAGCAAGACACAATAATATCTTTGAGACGACAACTGGACGATATCAAGTTAATCAACTTGGAAATGTACAAAAAGCTGCAGGTGGTATAACTTGCAATGTCTAATTTTCTTTTTTCATCATCCGCGTGATATAGCATACTTGCATTTTACATGAATTACTTTTTACATCGCGACGTAATTGATTGTATAATCACGTCCATAGCACTGCTTCACAATAGGGGTAATCGCAGCATAGATAATCGTTCGGTACTTGCTGAGAAAAGATGGCGTTCATACGACTAGTTTCCGATAGATAACATCCTTTTCTCTCATTTTTTTTCTTGTCCGACGCATGCGATCATTAGTATGAGCCAGTATACTATATCACGATAGTGATACTCATACTGTTATACTAACTATCAAACGCTTTACTTATACATGCAGGATTTGCATTTTTAAACGGCTGCAGAGCTGCTAGTCGTAGCGCAGAAGCGACCACTCCGTATCTTCCCGCGTTTCATCAATATTTTCGCCACTCTTAATATTTCAGCAATGTGTTCACCTTAGCGAGTAGTCTCACCTTATCGCAAGACTGTCGTTACATAGCATACGTCGTTTTTCGTGGACGTGCGCCAATAACACCGGGAATATTAATCGCGTAAAAATCTCTTCTCACGGGAAGGATTCGTGGTGGCACGTAAATTCTCTGTTTCTGGACGTATTTCCCTTGTAGGAGTGTGAGCACGAGCTGACACAGAAGGGCGAGATGGTGAGCCGTCTTCACGCGAAGACCAATCAGATCGGCAAGATCCTTAACAATCTCGAGAAGTACAATCACCTGATGAAGGACGGCGACGGCATACGAAGCCCTATCACCCCGGGTGGCGTGTCGAAATCTATCCTTAATAAGACTAGTCCCACTTCCCCGAGGGGTTGCTTGCCGGCGGAGAACACGACCGCCCGGCCGATCGTCGATCACCAGCGCTCCCTCGACGAGCAACAGCAATCGAAAAGCTCTATTGACAAATTGAAACAGAGCCGCTCGACCTCCGAGATCTCTACGACCAACAGTCCGATTGTCGAGCAAATCGCGAAGGAATAAAGGCTGCTGACCGTCCTTGCGTGATTAGTCCCGCTAATCGAACGATCGCGAGACCTCGGACATCTTGTTGCTGCTGTACACGGCGTGCTATGTACATTTTTTTGTACGCTCGCTCTCTGTGGAGTCGAATTATTTGTTTACCTCGCCGGATTCTCACTTGCGTTTTCTTCACGTAAACGGTCGTACCAGCATCTGACTTTTGTTTGAGTGCCACGCTCGAGAATTAATCAACGAGTTGATGAATTATATATAATTCGTCAACTAATTATCCTATTGCATAATTATTTTGGTGTAACGAAACGACTAGAGTTATTATATTATGGATAATAACACATTTTTGTCGTGAAATATATTTTATTCACAAGTCTTCGAAAGAAGTGTTATGTACCAAATGGTGATTCCGTAAACACGAAAATATAGAAATGTCACGTTTGAGTTGATTGGTTTAATTTACGAGATCTGGTTCCTCTGTGATTCGGATATTTAGTCGAACGTTTCGTTACATCACGTTCATTCGGAAATTCTGCGTACGACGAGTTGCAAAAGACGCAATCGATGTGTACATAGATCATTCTACTAAACTCGTACTATCAACATGCCTAACTGTCGTGAAAATGATTTTCAAGTCAATACGCATAATATATCGTAATATTCCAGGTTTGCTTAGAGAGTTTGCTTAGGGATAATCGTCTCTTTCGCTTGTACTCAATAAATATTCGTTTCAGGAGTGCGAAGGCTCGCTTAAGCATAAGACAGAACTGATCACAAAGTTGGAAGCTAAAACACTATCGATGACTGAGACCATCCAGAAAATGGATGAGAAGTATGTTTATTTGTCTTTCATTAGTGTTAACTCTAACTTGTAAGTGCGATCGGTCGCGCGCATACTCGAGATTAGAGGTAACGTAGCCATTAGCATAATAACTGTACTCATCGGAAAAAGTTTTGCGCTTGATTACCACGCGCTTTTGTACCGGGACGCTGACGCGTCTGCTTTCCCGTTGAGCGGCTTATCCGATCAATTGCCAACGCAATAGTTTCGCTGATAAGTTGCCCATCTCCTCGATATCGCGAATTATCGAAAAGTAGTTGGCACACGTGAGGCGAGAGTAATGGTATTAGCTTGATCGTATTATCTGATCGCGTATTAATGGCATTACGACATGTCAGTTAGAATTCAGCTACGAGAATGATAGAGATGACGACGAGAGCATCGAGAGAGGACGAAAGCTCACTTTCACTCGATTCGTATATCGTTGTAAATAAATTTTTATTATAGAGAATCGTCGTACTTTCTAGTACTTTCTAGTCAACGCGATTATACGCGTGATTCAGCAATGACCCGAGCGATGCAAAACTTTTCTCGATGCGTGCAAGAAACGTTCCTTCGTTACGTTCCCTTGTTTCCTTGTTAAATGTCGGAACGCGGCTATAATAATGCTTATATTCGTCGCGGGGGTGTTGTCGGGAAAGATTCGACAGCTGAAACGTTGACGTTTGGTCGCGTGATATTACCCCGCGTTTTCCGGAGAAGAGCGCTAAAAAGATTCCACGTTACCGAACTACCTTAGCAGGCATTATTTACGTACAAACATAGTTGTTGTGATAAGACTTTTCTATCAGCTGTCGCTTACGGAATTCTGCTGTGACAGCAAACGGCCGCATACCAGCGATTGAAACGATGCACGCACGCAGACAGATGGGGGACAGCTCTAGCTAGAGATGATTTATTTTTTACTTAGATGTCGCGAGAACGCGATCGGGTTTAGATAGGGTAGATTAGAGAGGAAGGAAAAAAAAACGCGAAGCTCTAGAAGACAAACGGACTCTTCGTCACGGGGATATTGGCAAACCCTCACTACATAACTACTCCATAACATCACATCGATATGTAGCTATTAATATTGTCGAGGCATATTTTAAAGTCTTTCGCAATAATCGATAGATTTCTACATAATAACGTAATTATTAATAAAGTACATTAACGATTATACTATAATTATCGGACTTTACTTCGCGATCGTTCGTTTCTCGTATACGTAGAGTGCTCGCCTGACTACTTGAAATGCGCCATTTTCTTATCTCCTTCTGCTATGCGATCGCGCGCGTTTAAGGAACTGATTCGCGATCACCCTCGTCACCGAATCATTCCTCCCCTGATTGATTTATCAATCTCACGGTTTACACACGGAAACAGTTGAGTTGATCACATTTATCGTCATCTGTAATTGACGTACTAACGTGTAAGACATTTTTCGAAACGATCGTTACTTCCGACTGGAAGTAATATGTTCGGCGGTTGTTAACTGAACGTGCCATATCCATACTACCGATATACTCACACACACATACACACACACACACACACACACACACACACACACACACACACACGCAACACGTACTCGTATCAGTCTCGCGCAGTGGACATTATAACGCACTCTGACACTACGTGTGCTTGTACCAACGCTACGAAAATAAACTCATGGCAGAAAAGAGTGTGCGTTTGTTTACCCCAAATTCATCGGCGACTAGACTTAAGGTGTCGCGACTTGCCAGTTTAGGATACCACAGTTGGACATTTATTTATGTATATCTCTTTTTTAATTTTTATTTCCGTACGGTCACTCTGCTTATACAGTAATGAATTGTAAGGTAAGTTATGTATATACGTTTGCATATCACTAGTGAAATTATGAATTACTCACGGTTTTGCTGCTATCTCGTTAATAGATTTGTGCAGAAATATGAATTAGTAACGTGTACACTTTTATTCTACCGCACTCTTGTCAAGCATTCGGTTCGTTATAATATATTATGGACCGTCGGTTATATTAAATAACGAAATAACGTCGGAGTGATATCAGTTAACTTGGAGCGAAACGTCAGCTCAAAATTTACACAGACTAACACTCTTTCACGATATTTTCCTGATACGTAATTATGTGTAAAGATTTATCTTGTTCAGGGATCGGTTAATATTTGATAATTAATTTCTTGTTCTCGGGCTCGATTTTTCAATTAAAGATATAATGATTTACGCAACGCATACTTGATAATAATCATTCATATCCTTCACCATTTCTAATAATACGATCGCAAAGCAGTTCCTTAAATGCGTTATTTTGAAATACGCTGTTATTTATTCGTAAAGATGTAGTTATGACGTCAGATTTATTTTAACGAAAATAGTCTTGAGTGACAAGCGCACGATCTCTCAAATTTATCTTGACGAACTAAATATTATACTCAAAGTGATATATTGTCTTTTCATTGATTAATAAAGATATAGATAAAGATAAAGATGACATGTAATTAGCGAGGACTTAAAATGTGAATTGTATCTCTTTAATAGAACATTTACGAGAGATTATCGATATCGCGTGATATTTTTGTACCGGGCGCGGGAGCGGGATCATCGTCGCGTAGATATAGCGTCACGCGTCATTACACTCACATTTATCTGAAATCCTAACGTAATCCTGGCGCAAGGTATGAGTTAAAGATCGTCGATCCAATTGAACGAAATGGCTTCTAGCGGCGTAGACGAGGGTTTTATGTCTTTTACGTTTAAGTACCAGCGATTTGACTTAATCAGGTGCAAGGAGATCGATGGTGTCAGGTCGGGGGCGGTGGAGAGGGTGAGAGTCCTGGACGCGGAGGCCGCTGAGAGGGAAGCGCGGACGAATGGGGTCGAGAGGGAATTGCGACTCGAGCGCGAATGGAGAACCTCCTTGCAGGAAACATCGATCTGTAACACGGAGAAGATCTCTCAATTACATCAGGAGATCGATCAGCTGAAACGGGTGTCCGAGGTACGTAGTTACGTGCGCTGTGCGATCTGTATTGCCTTTTAAGCATAGCCTGGCCGAATAAATCTCACCGGTTAACGTTATCGTCGCCGTCGCCGCCGCCGCCGCCACCGTCGTCGCCGCCAATGTCTTGTAAGTTCCAGACGACGTCGAGTTAGGCGGGAAGCGCGGGCGACGCGACGCGATCCGATCTTTCTATTTAAATCTCATCTCGAAACCTGCCAGCGCGGATTATAAGCCTGCATCTAATTCAATCAGCAAATGGCAGTTGCGGAGATTTATCCGTCTTTCGATAATAGAACTGACAGTAAGTACCATGATGCGGTGACCTGAAATAGATTAATGAAATTTATTTCAACCGGATTTTCGTCCTTGCGAATTTTCAGAGCGTACAGCACGAGCACTCTATTTGACAGTTAGAAAAATAAGTTAATTTTGACCAGGAAACGGAAAAACACCATTCACTGGGTACATTTGGATATAATGACTGTAGTCAATGGGTGAAGCATAAAAATAAAGGATAATTTTTCCGATATCCAAGTTTAACCCGCTCGTGCGCGGCTTAAACTCGTTAAACCGTATAAAAAAATTGTCTATCGTTTTGTGCACTCTGCCATGGTAATTATTGAGATATTAATGAAAGAAAATTGGCAGATGAGTGCGCAATGTGGTGGGGCGAACTTCGTAATCAATCTAAATCTGAATTTATAAACAATCCTCTGGACTTATTTTTTTTTCTTTTAAATTACACTTTATACTCGTAAAAAAAAATATATATATATATATATATTTTTTAATATATATTTAAAAAATATATGTATAATTAATGCTTTACATTGCAAATTCAAATCAAGGTTTCGCATTGGTTCTTGACATAATTAATGTCAGCTTTAACGTAAATACTAAAGCTGATGCTTTTCGTATTTACATGATTTATTTGATCTTTATTTTATAGAAGAACGATTTTATGTCGATTAGAAGCGTAGTAATTTCCTCTTTCGAGTGGTTTTTATTTCAAGTTACTACGACGTCTACAAGCGGATTTATTGACGTTTATATCGATTCGCGTTCTCGATCGACCGGCTGTATTACTGTGCGAGGTTAGTTATTAGTGGCACAGCACTCTATTTCAGCCACAGGACCGTCAACTGAATAAGACCTGCGGGACTCTCCATAATTTAAACTAGTCCATAGTATAACTAGTCCCCTATGCATATTATTTTTCTATATAATATCATGTTTGTATCTATGTCACCAATTCAGTTATATTATTATAATTATAATAGAATAGTAGTTTCAATAAGAATTTTTCAGAACTTTAAGAAAGAATAATGAAAATTTTATAAAACTGACGGCCCTGAGACTAAGCGCTGTGACAGTCAGTCACGAGACTCAGTGAACGATCGCCGTAGCGAGCACATAGCCGCAACGAGCACGTGACCGCAGCGAGCACGTGGTCGGGTTGGTCATGCTATTTGAGGCGCGGAATGGGGAGTCGCGTGAGTGTTACGATCGTCACGTGTGAGATATCGAAGGCATCTTTCAGAAAATGCGGTTTCCAATTACGCGTTGCGTCGTGACCTACCTTTAGCGCGCGAAAGGAATTGCATTGACCGATCGAGAACGCGGATCGATAAAAACGTCAATAACTCCACTTGCAGACGTTATGACTTGAAACGAAAACCCTTAGAAAAAGGAAACTCCTGTGCTTCTAACAGACATGAAACCTTCCTTCCGTAGAATAAGGATCAAATAGCCATGTAATTACGAAAAGCATTAGTTTTTGTACTTGGACGTTAAAATAGATATTAATCTATATTAAAAAGCAATGGGAAATATCTTGATTTGGATTTGTAATTCGATGTGAATTTGTTCGATGATTTTATTTTATGATGCGTATAAAAAAAATGTAATTTAAGAGAAAAGTAAACAGACTGTCTTTAAATTGTTTACAGAATTCATCCCACCATATCGCGTAAATTGATTTACCGATTTTACTTCGATAATTATAGTGGTAGTTTATAAAATGGCAAAGGAATTTTCTACTCAGTTTAAAGAACTCAATTTATACACGAGCGCAGTTTATCAGCCGGACGCTTTGTATATCGCTCCCAATGGTATAGAAAGTAAAGCTAAAAGCCTGACTATAAACTGACGTACGATAACTAAGGGTCATCTCCGGAATACCGGAGAGACAAAAATAAAAATATACAAAAGACTGTAAAAATAAAGACTATAGAAATGTTTCATGAAGCTGAGACATTTCCAGATGAAAGAAAGAAGAGTTCTTTATACACTTTACGTCATTACTGCTTGATATAAAAAATATCGAAGTAAATTATCTAAAAGGTGGTACTTCGTGCATATTTTATATAATGATTTAATTATAACCGTTGAATGAAGCAACAGATTAATAAAGAAATTAGTACGCTCGCTCACGTTCGAATTGTACTTTCTTGGCGGTGAATTTCGGTTAGTCAGTCGGTTCTACGTTAATCGCGGCAGCGAACGAGCGAGTAAATACACACCGGATAATCGCAATGCCGGGTGTCCCGTTGTTCCAGAGATACTTGACGCTGCAGGAGGAGTATTATGCGCTGAAGGAGGTGTGCAGCGAGCAGGAACGAACTCTGGAGGAACTTGGGGGACAATTGAGCGCGGCCAAATTAGCGGCGGCCGAACTGCGCGAGGCCGCTGACAACGTTCAGCAGCAGCAGCAGCAGTCGGCGCTGCAAGAAGGATCGGTTGCCTGGGCGAACGATCGGATGGTCACCCAATGCAAGGGGTGCAGCCGTGAGTTCAACATGACTCGTCGCAAGGTAATCAAACTTTTTAATTGCCCCCACGCAACCCTCGCCTTCTCCCAGCCCTTTGCCCTTCCCCAGCCGTTTCTCTCACTCACTCATTCATTTTCTCTCTTTCTTTATCTTTCTCTACCTGTCTCATTCTCTTTACAGCTTTCCGTCCTAACTCTGATTTCTCCGGCTCCTTCGCGGATCACCCTCCGCCTCTGCTCTTCTCTTCACTTCACTTCACTTCACTTCCCACTTTCCACTCTCGTCCGACCGATCTATTCGCAGAACTGAAACTCGCGCGCGGAGCGAGCTCGACTGAAAGCGCGGCGCACCGTACGTAATTGTACAATTATCCCCGTCGCCTTGGAAATTACCGCTTTCCTCGATGCGGATTCCCGAGGCGGCGTCGGGACGCCGCGACGAAGGGGGATGGTGAACACGTTAAATGACCACGGTCGATCGGGGTGGTCGTGACGGGGCGAATTTACTAGAATCTCAGGAACATACCTGCTTACCTGGATACCTTAGCCGCTACCTGGCTAGCCAGCTACCTCGGTGAAGATCCGACCAAAGTGCGCGAGCAGCGCGAGCTGCGCTCGTCACGGCGCGTCGGCATCGCACCGAGATCGGAATCGCAACTCGCGCGCAACAACTTTGATGCACGACAGTCGTATTATTAGAGATAGGGCGGGCTATCGCGTTGCCCGGGCTAGCAATTACACTTAAAGGCTTTCGTTTACCTAACTTCCCCCTTTATTAAATCGCGATAGGCCGTAATGAGGGCCGGAATTTGTGGATAGATAAGAACCGCTTGAGGGATCACGGGCTTAAACAAGTTCTCGAGCGTGTTAAGCACCCGGCGCGCGAACGCGAACGCGAATGTGGTGCCGCGCGCGCTGCCGTAACGTTTTTTTCATTCGCTCATTAGAGAGACGTGTCGCATTACACGAGGGTAGAGGGTGGCGGGCGGCAGCGATTTCCCCGGGAGTACAATGTAGCTCGAAGCGCACGACTCGCTTCCATTTTTTGAATCACCCGCTGGCACGGTATAAGCGCCTTAAAGTATTCACGGAGATCTGATCGTTCCGTTCGTTGCAGTTGCGTGCATCGATAAGGGAAGCGCTACCGCCGCCGCCAACGTACTCGTGCATTCGTCATACAGGATAAATTCCGTGGTGAGATTTATGGCGCGGGTTAGGACCCCTTATCGAAATTTCGTGGATGCGCGCGATAAATACAATTCACGTGTCGACGTCGTGCTAATCGTTGCGCAGGGGATGAAAGTGGTGGTGGTGGTTCTAGCTCTCCGAAGTAGTTCCGAAAGAATCGGGTCGTCGCGTGCGATCCGACGCCTCGTTCATCGTCGGCGTGACGATTGATCTTGCGTGCCTTCCGCGACTTCTCCACTATCGCGGATAAAAGCCGTTGAAAAATCTACTCTTACCACCGCGAGCGCGCAAGCCTCCTTAGCAGGGACGACGTTTCTCGAGCAGCATTTCGCCCCCGCGCGCTTCTTTCCTCCCCGTGACGTCCAATTATTGCGCCATCACTCGACATACGTTCGTGATTATGCGTCCTGCATGCATGGCCCGCATGCATATTCAGTTGACGATGTGATAGAGACGTTGCTCGCCCCATAAAACACATTTAGACGGTATTCCTCTCTTTGCTGTACGTGGCCGGCGAGGAATACTCGCGGACGCTCACTACGAGCGTCACTCTCGGCCACGAGGGGGTTGAAAGAGGAGAGTGTAGGAAAGGGTGGTAAGTTATTGCATAATAACAAGGCAGTGCTCGGGTATCCTTGTTACTCATTTTTCGCCCCGTAGGTGTATTACCATACTGTTTAATATAGAATAGGCCACCCATGGCACGATCAGACGTGTGTGGGTGGAACCGTGCCAGTGGGCAAGTCGCTACGTTGGCAGACGCGCAAGCCAAGACGCCCGGGGACGTGGGCGTAGAGGCTTTTGCAAAGTGTGAGGGTTCGTGGCTGGAAAAAAACCGTCCGGCTGCAAGGCCGCGTACTTGCACATGCAAAAGCATGCAAAACAATAACCTTCTCCCACACGGAGCCGCGCACACAGTCCGCCGGCTAGTGCGGTTGACCACGTTAAGACGCCAAATTCACCCTCTCTCTGAGGGCGCGTTGCCACACGCTGGCGCACGCGGTGCACCGACAATTGCTTTGCACGCGCACTTGACACAGTTCGCGCAGACTGCGGAATTTTGATTCCGCCGGCGATGTTAACAAGAGAATGAGGTAGAAAGAGAGGGGAGGAAGGGGACAGAGCCGGTCGCAACTTTTCTCGTATGTTTTATGCATCGCTGAACGTTTTGATTCGCCCGCGGTAACGGGGCATCACGGCAGCCAAGTTTCAGGCCGCAGTTGTTACCGCGCTTGAAAATTTCCCGGCGAGCGGTTGTTTGCGAAACCGATTGTATCGCGTCGGGAAATATGGCCTTTTCCCGTTTACCGTTTCGCGATATTCGTAAAATCCGAATTCGTCTCGAAAATGGGAAAGCGCGAGGAGGCAGACACTTTAGGGCGCAGCGAGCGACTCTCTTTCACGATCGATATCTTTATGGGATTTTAGTCGAATCGTTGCGTATTCCGGAAATTGTAACACGTCTTCTCGCGTGTGCTGCAAAGTCGACTTCTTTTTCTTCCCTGACATGGCTGCTCACACTATATACTCCCTAGAAAGGAGGAGCAGCTGTACTTATTACAAAGCATCACGTGGGATTATTAGGAAGCGACATTTGCGATATTGGATCGTCATAAGCAACGACATCGAGTCGCTCACGCAGACGTTGATAAGTGAATGTACGACATTCACCGTGTCACGTGCGATGGTGCGGCAAGAGGACGGCTCGTAAAGGATACTAGCTAATAAAATATTTCGCTTTGTGCGTCGTGTAAGCTCTAGGCGAAACAAGCGCGCGTGTATTTCAGGCGATTAAACACATGTATCAATATCCAATTTCTCCTCCGTGCTAATAGAATTGTTTCAACTTCATATTAATATAAATTATAACAGACTTTACGCGATAGCTCGACTGTGCCAGCTCGCGATCGCGCACACAAGGATAACAGGACGTTTTTGTTCGGGAATACATTAGTGATCGGACAAATAAGTCGTGATCGATCGCTGACGGACGATTGTAATCGTACACGGAAGGCAGCAGAGCGCTCCGGGGTTTTGTGCGTTTCTTCCCCCTACGAGAATGAATAAGCGCGCACACAACGGCGTTTGCGTTCTCATAACGCGTAACTCCGGAGATGAAAACTCATTTCTTTGCTCATGCGATTGTATAAAAGTGAGTTTGCCCGTCCGCTCGATGCCGCGCGCTACAAAGGCGAACGACGCGAACCGTGATGTCGTCGCCACGATTTCCAGCAGACTTTCGCGTCGCATTGCGCGAATCGCGAGAGTCGACTCGAATCGGATCGAGTCATCTCTCGCGCGGAGTTTATAGATCGTTACGGTCGATCATTTCCCCGACAGTATCTTCCGGATCTGATCTCAGACTAATTTATTCGTCTTGGAAAGTATCTATAAGTAGGTATCTATCACGGTTAAGATAAGGTGAGCTTGAGGCACGCCGGTACGGAGTTGCAGGCACCAATCTACTACGTTTCGGTCGTAAGTCATGCTGATGGGACGGTTCAATAATTAACTTCGCGAGGAAATCGGTTATCGGGACGATATTATTCGGGCTCTTACTTCCCGGTAATAACCGGGCAACCACCACCACCACCATCTCCATCGTCGTCATCCCACCACCCCATCATCCGCAGCCTCGCTGCCCTCGCGCTAAGAGGGAACGACGATCCGGCCGCCTCACTTAGGGGATTCAATTTAGATGTAAAATTTAGAATCGTGGTCGCCTCGGTTCCGCCGTTACACTTCTCTTTTGGCTCTCTCGGAGTACGAATACCACATTATTATAATAGACCGTCGGTAATGGCTCGAAAATAAAGAATACCGGGTAATGGGGAGACGAGGCGCGGGCAGCAGGAGTGCGAAACCAACACAAAGACGGAGCGCGACCCGTGGATGACGCGAAAATTCGTTCCTCCCCCTGTCGCGACTATAGTAAATCTGCGCGGACTACTCGCGCGACGTACAACAATGAATTTCTTGTGTTTTTCTTCAGACCGTGTTCTAGAAATATCAGTTGAATACTAAAACGTAGTAATGCGATTAAGCGGAAGATTTTTGGTAGACTAGAAAAAGAAACGTCTTAGGCAATGTTCATAAGAGCGAAGTAACATGTTCACTTCTGCGGCTTAATAATTCAATTTGATCGGACAAAATTGCCTTAGAATACTAATTTTGGTAGTTTTGAGGGCAAGCTTCGAATAAAGTGTAGCATTATTTACGAATATCCTAGAATGTCCAATGTATATCTGTGCCGCGCACAACAATTAGAAGTTAGGAATAATCTTTCATAAATTATGAAACATTAGAATCTTAACATCAGGGAACTTCAGAAGACATAAATTCTTGATTACGAGGAGATTCGTTTTGGTGGACATGCAGTTGATCCTATTTTATCGAAAAGCGAGTAAAACGAGTAGGTATTCGAGTTAAATCCCATTGGAAATGCAAACTACTTAGGCTTAACCGAGAAACAAGATTTCTTCGCGACTCGCCAAGTCGCCAGAGTTCAATCTGTGCCGGTTGTCGGAGACAATCGTCATTCCTCTTCATCCCGCTTTTGGCATTCGCCAAAAGCGCGCGAGTCCATTGAAGCATTCTGTACAAAGTCGATGCGGCTAAAACTAACTTATTTCTCCTATTTGTCCTCACCCTCATTGCTTCTCGCCTGCTGAAGTCACTTTCCAGATTGCCAGCCAGTCCTGTTTCGTGTCCGTCTATACTTCAACAATCTAACGACCCTCACATGGAAATGACCGGTGCAAGAAGTACGGCAAAAAAGTATTAAGCGCTCTCTTACCTGAAGTTGACGCGCGGACAATAGTATTCCTGACGCCGAGTGCAAAAAGCTTCTGCCGTTGTCCGCGTGCCAGCTTCAGGTACGGGCATGCACTTTTTTGACCCGCAACGAGCACACGTAATCCGTAACTGTGAACTACGTTACAGAGCTTTTTTACTTTCCAGCACGTAGGACCGAGGCGGAGAAACTCATCGTCGTTATACGTCGCCAAGTTATTATTGGTTTGGACGTACAGATTAAAATCCCGGAATGTAACTTGCTTACCGTGTAATTTAAGTCACGCTCTCTGTGCGCCGTTTACCTTGTACCGACGGACTCGGTACAGTTTTATGAATAATTGTTGATTCTCGTTGAAGAAATACCGATACTTGACATCGAGCGACATCATCTCGCCGTTTATTTTCGTTTCGCATCGTGTTTAAGAGTGAAATTAAAGCTGCAATCCTAAGCAAATATACGAGTAAATCATAAAGACGTAGCTTACGAAAATATTTTTATAATCGTAGTTATTTACGAGTTATCATACGGTCCGCATAGAATTGTAGATCTACTCGTAAGCTTTTACGAGAACAAGTTATGAGTTTTACGATTTTGTCTAGAATTGCAGTATTAATGTTAAGTACGTTTTACTCCTATCGATTTCTTTCTCTTTTTCTATTACTATTACAGTAAATGAACAGGAAATGTCCAGACAGGAAATATATCGCTCGAAGTTACTCAGCGCAAATTTAGAACGTTTGTCTCGAAGCTGACGCGTCTATATTCGGGATATTTGCTTTACACGCTAGAATAAAATTCATATTTCACTTGCAAATTACTGGCACTATTCATGGCACGAATATAAAGTTAACTCCTGCGCCTCTTAAAATAAGCAAGAACTACGCAAGTATCGATCTCTCTCAGCCAATTTCACTATATATTATTTTATATAATTTAATTCTGTAGCTTTAGTTACATGTTATTTAATCTCTCTTTCTCCTTCTCTTTCTCTCTCATTACTTGAACGATGGAAACAATTAAAGTGGAAATCGATTGCAATATATATCTCCTTTCACATATAACGCGTTCTTAAATAAAAGCTAATTTAAAATTCCGATAATATTTAATTTTCAACACGTTGAATATTGATGGATGGTTTCTAGTCTCTGTCTAGTTAAATGCTTTGAAACGTCGCTAAAATAAATCATATTATATATCCTGGAATAAAAATTACACGATGTGGAATATAATTACGTATAATGCACATATATTATTTTTGCGACGTTGACTTTGCCGGTTGATTTTATAATGCAGACAAATACTGTGGATGTGTATATGCGTTTTCATAACGGAATATATTTATAGAATATAAATTTAATGAACACATAATATGACATACTCTGTTCTTATCGCGTGATAGATCGGTAAACTTAACCATTAATGTGGATTAATAATGGACTTCCTGCGGATATTGTTTCTGTTGCAGCACCATTGTCGCAATTGCGGGAACATTTTCTGCAACGCGTGCAGCGATAATGCTACAGCCTTGCCGAACTCAGCGAAGCCTGTGCGCGTTTGTGACGAATGTTATATGTTTCTAGTTAGTCGTTACTCGGTAACGCATTAATACTACGCGTGCATTTTTGTTTTTTCGTAAGCATTCCGCATAACGGAGATTTCAACCTGATGCATGGTCTCCGGCGGAGGAAAGAAAAAAAGAAAAAAGGAGAAAATGAACGAAAAGGGAGCGCGGAAGAAAGAACCGAGCGTTGACAAAATCTGTCCGAAAATACAGCCTTTGAATGTGTTTCTTGTTTATGGTACGTTATGCGTAACCGTTTATCGCAAATTGAACGTATACGATGACGAACAAGCCAATCTGCCGCGAGCGACGTTTCGTCCCGCTTTGGTACCTTTTTTCCTATTTTTCTGTTTTTTTTTCTTTTTTTTGGTTTACGAAAATGCTCACGGTATTCTAGAGTTTATATTACTTGGCTCGAACGAATGTACAATTTTTCTGATTTTATTGTTATAACGTAATTTTTACGTAATACTAACTTTTTAAATAATCTTACAAATAATCGACGAAGGCATGCGAACGATAAAGTTGATTTATTTTCCTTCCCATTTCCACTTGATTTTGCAGTAGAATGATTTCAGTTTGCTGTACAACAGTTATTATTATCTCACTTGGTGGCGGTGAGTGGAAGAAACGACTCCGTCGATCGGTCACGAGTCCGAAATATTTACGATACACAAACACTTGTTCATATGTGAGTTTTGTAAAAAAAAATTGTTAACCACGCGCTTTGTTTCCGGTAGCGTTCGATAGTATCGTTTCTCGTTTGTTGCGCTCAACTTGAGCGCGGTTAGATCGTATATTACCAGCGTAAGACTGTGACTCGGTGGCGATTTGTGAAGTAACGAAACTGCAGCTTTGTTCGCGCGCTGCAGTGTCCAAACGCGTGCCTGTACAATGATATTTTTAAGATATTGTGTACCATCTAAAAAAGATTATACGTAAATAAATGAAATGGTTTTCTAAATTCAATGCGTTGTCACTTTCTTCCGAGCAATCACAGTGTCACGATAGTATACCGTACGTACTCAATTCGATGGAAACATGTTAATTAGAATGTCTCAAAAGAGACGTACGTCGTCATCGCCGTCTCTATGACTTCTTGCAGGTAGCGCTTACGAAAATATATTATCGCGCTACGCGAAGCTATGATTTTCTTGCAATGAAAAATATTTAATTAAAGATAGTAGGGTAGTAGAGAGAAGATGACAACTCTCGCGCACAGAGAAGTCCTTTGGACGCATGTATACTTCAGTTGTCTGTAATGTTCCGTAAAACTGCAAACAATGATACGACAACAATTAATTAAACGCACGTCGCACAGCGTCGCTCTCGACAATCATAATTTAACTCAACTACGCGGCGACCACCATATATCATTCCTCTCTTTGGAACTTATTCCGTAAAAAGTTTCTTATTTTTTACCGCGCAGAGTCTTCCTCGATGTATGGAAGCCGTGGCGAGAAATTAATTGCGGCTCGAGTGCTGTGAAATATTTGCGAAACGCCGGCTCGTGCCGCTGATTGAATCAGCGCAATATCTGACGCACCTGCCATACCTGCTCTATCAGTGGCATCGATCCTTCGGCTGGAATTAACGAAAAAGTGAAGCGCTACGGCTTCTTCTTGCACGAAAGCGGCTCGCGAAGAAAAGCGCCGACCGTAATGTGTAATCTACCTGCCGAACGTAAATCCGTTCTCCTCAGGTGCGCGCACCCGCTCTCTTCGCCCTTCCTCCCTTTCTCACTAATCTCCGCAACTACAACCACACGCTATCCCGTCGACTTCTCTTTCTCTCTTTATCCTTTTCCGCCGTTGGAAAAGCAGTAAAACAGTCCGCAGGCTGCCGCCCTTCCCCATCGCGCGCCGTTCTTATCCTTTCCAGACGTTAACAATGCCTACCTACCACCTACGGTCGCCACCCCACGAGGGACCCCAGGAGTAGCTGCCACGTGAAGCCGAGCCGCCACGCGCCCCTTTGCATGTGTACGTGGCTATGTGTAACGTCTACGGTACGAGCGTAGTAAGGGGAGTTAGCGGTGTCGTGTTACATGTATGCTCGCGGTGCTCGCTGCCTGACTGCGGTAAGTTCTGGCGGGTGGTTGTGAGCCGCGAGCGACTGCCCCTGGTAGGCCAACTTGTCGGATATCTACGACTTTCGAAAGCTCGTTAGCCGCGAGCGTGCACGCTTAAACGGCCGCTAAATTGAAATCGATCCCTGGCCGTTCCGCTTCGATCCACCGCGGCCTCGACGATTGGCGCGAATATCCGCTTCCACCTGCGCTCGCTCACTCGGCGTGTACCCGCTCCGGGTATGTACCTAGCACGAGTGTGCACGCGACAATTGTGTTTGAATGAGCTCGAATGGCCGCACTCGTTGCAACCTGGTTCCGCGGACTCGTCGGCAGGCTCGAACTTTAACTTAACACCAGTTGTAATAGCGCTTTCGGCTGTGTACGAGCGCGTTCGTTAATCGCCAAGTATTAGATTGAAATGGAGAGATTGTAACTCGGCTTGCTGGAAAGAATTCGGCAACCCTTTTACGCGCGGAGCACGACTATGTGCTTTTATTTTTTCTAACTGAGAATATTCATCGTGTTTTTTCATTCGTGTTTAATAAAGTTAAAATATAGTTGTTCAAAAAACGTTCTCTCGCACTGTAAATACGTTCAGTTCAGCTTTCAGATGTTTGGAAACTTTTTGGCTGTTAAGGTGATAGATTAGTCGACGTTTCCGCACATACGAGTCGTGCGATCGATCAGCTGCGCGCGCTAATCGCACAGATCGCGAGCCTCGCATCGCGATGCAGCGCGAGGGCGGTCGGGTTATGATAACGTTTCGTTCACGATCGGGAATATCACGCGGCGTTAGAGCTGAAAATAGAGGCGAGCAGAGTGTCGTGATTGTAGATCGTTACAAATCAACTAACGGGCAGAAAAATATATTCGCAAAATACTTTTATGAAGACCGGGATTACTAACTATCCGTACCGAAATGACGAGTCAGCGCGGGTATGATCATGCAAATAAAATAGTGCACTACGCTACGGGACATTAATGATGGTATAGCGTGTCTCACGAGTCGTGGAACGCGGTGCCAAGATCATGAAGGTAAAGTTGCTTTTATAGTAGAATCACTGACACGCGAAGTGGTTTGGTCGCACGTTCTTATATTGCATGCCTATTCGTCGAAAGAATTGACTAATTCCTCGACTTTCAAAAATACAAAGTCGACGCGTAGCAGGTATAGTTCGTCATGAGGATTGTAAATGTTATAAGAGTCCTCGATATCTCGGATAGATATCTCAAACTGTGAGGAAGAGAGAAAACTGCATGGTCGCACGAGCATGAATACGTTTTGTAATTTAATATGATAATTTGCGCGAGTCACACAATATAACACTTTAAAAAAATATAATCTGATTCTTGCAGAATATTCTTTCTTATATATGGCTTCAAAAGAGGATTCCCCTGCATACGATCAACAAGAAAATATTCTAAGCACGATATTCTTAAAGTTAGAGAAATTTCGTCTTTTATCTATGGTACAAACCTTGTTCTCAATAAAAATTTCTTCTAGAAAGAGAACATTCTGCTTCAAGTAAACATATTCCTCTTCCCAAAGTTAGAAAAATATTTAGTAGATTTTTCGATTAATAATCCACTTTCCAATAGAAGAGAGATACTATTTCGATTTTCATTTAGAATATGATATTACGAATTTTCATTTAAAATATGATATTACAGGAAATAGTATCTTATAATTAAAGTTTCTTTTTCGAGTGTTGGAATATTTCCATTTTGATTTGGGAGGAATTCTCTCTCTCTCTCTCTCTCTCTCTCTTTCTCTCTCTCTCTATCTCGACGTCATAATTAAGAGTATATTCGCTAAGAATGATCATATTTTGTTGGATGAAAATTTACATGAGTAAAGAGAAGTTTCAAAAATTCAAAACGCACGAATACGTACGCGAAGGAAGAGACAGAAACATATGTTCATATTACTTAAGTACTCAGGCCGTATTTGTCAGACTCGGAGCTCTCGATTGCACTAAATACAATATTAAGGATAATTATCAAATAGATGAGTTTCAGCTAAGTTAATGCGAGAATGGTATACAGTTAATTACCAAAGAAACGGCAATTAAAAGTTTGCACGACGCATGTATATTAACCGCGTTATACCTCATTCCGTATTCATTAACGTCTCTTTAGCCACGCCGATGATATAGTTTTAAGTTCATCACCTGATAGGGGCGAGGCGAGATAGCGAATTTGCTGCACGACGCACTTGTACCGCGAGCAATTTTGCCGTCGAACCTCGCGACAAGCACTGACGACAAGTTTTGCACGAAAAGTGCCAACGAGACGTCGGATTAAATTCGAGACAAAGAGGAGCGGACGCCGAATCACTTTCCGTAATGACACTTGATCAATTATCTTTAATGAATACACGGCGCAGCAGCGTGTACGCACGCAGAGTTTAATCGAAACAATCGATAATTCGATGAGATACCGTTCGTGGATTATCGCGCAGGTTACGTTATCGGCGATAACGCGGCGTGTCTCTTTTATAATTCTCGATCTCTCCCACTTGTCACTCAGATTGGACATTTCCGCGTGTCTCGTCAGACTCACACGAGAGATTCTTACCATCTAGGCTGGATCTGGGAGCAGCGCGAGGGGAAGTTACCAGTTGGCGCGCTCGCGCCACATTCATACTCGGCTGGCTGGAATCGCATGCATGTAATAAGCGAAAACAATTGTACGTAATGGCGCTGAACCGGAGGTGCGATTCCATCAAGTGGCACGCGTGCTCGAAATAGTATCCACGGCGAGCATGAATTATCACGCGAGCCCTCTACTCCGGCGGAGCAGCTTCGTGGAAGAAAACGCCACTGATAGGCAGAGAACATTGCATACCGCGCTGCACTCTGCCTCGTCCTTGCTCCCTGCCGCCGGCGTGCCGTCGGGTGTCTTTTCCGATTTCGATGTTTATTTACCGTTTGCCGCTTGTTGATCTGCTCGCCGTATAAATAAAACGCTATTGTATGTATCTGGATGCGAGCAGCGTGGTTGCAACCATGCCGAAACAGAATTTTCCGCCACGGTCGGACGCGTGAGAATATCGCGAAGAGATTTTTGCTGCATGAGTGTGCATCCAGAACTAGTTCGACAAAATGGTGACAAAAAAACTATGCAGACAGGGAAAAAAAGCAATATTGCGTACGTATCACGCTACGGGTGGTAAAGTGGACAATTCACCGATGCATCGCAGCGTAGAAAGTTACGGGGGAGAACGGGCTCAAACAAACAATTGTTTTCCGTAACAATGCACCGATAAACTGTTTGGTATTTCATCGATGGACGTTTTGTATTTATTCTGTCGCTATTTTCGGCCTTTTATAATGACGATTTCTTAATTTAACGCGGCCAATCGAGCAGTCGTGTAAAATCCGCTCATTGGCGCGAAGGCGGACACCGCTAATTGAGGAGATAATTGATTGTTTATCTGGTCGCGTGGAGAACTATAGATAGATAAAGAATAGATGTTTCATACTGACAAGTACCAGCGTAGCATGCAAGGTAATTAAAAATTATACAAGAATACGGTATCCGACATTCAGGATAAATAAATTGCGCGGACGCTCAATGTACGTCTGATCGTTCAGTCGTTAAAAGAGACGCTCGTATATACTTTTTATGGTATAGAACGTGAAGATTCAACAAAGTTGTTCCAATATCTTATATTTGTCACTCGCAGACTTGTGATATTTTCTCTCCGATGACGTGAGATATCTCGTTTGATCAATCTCAAAAATAGGAAGATCCATTTAGCCCGCTCCGGATTAGCGTCTCACGTTACCATGGGGAACAATCCTGTTTACAGTAAATTCACGCTACACGATCGATCCTTTGTTGAGTTTTACAACGGTGCTTCTCGCCACCGTGAAGGTGATTTATATTTCACTCGTATTTTACAATACTTTTTATATAACAGCTAAAGATTTTTAAGAACAGCTATTTTGTACCGTGTCACATGACACCTTTTAGTAATTAATGCTCCGAACTAAAAAGATAAAGGACAACTTACAATCCGGGTCACTTCGGATCAATAGCAAAATACAAAATAATCATGATTATTTATGTGTATTGAATAAGATTTTGATGAACGTATATTTTTCTTTAATGATTTTTCTTTTCCTGAAAGAAGACGTTTAACAAATTACGAACGCGTCTACAAAAATAGCATGTTATATTTATTAGTTTCGTCTTGACTCCGAATCCGGCTTTAACGTGTTTTTAACGTTATTTGTGAACTTAAAAATACGTTTATTCACATTACATGACGCCAATTATTTTTGATGAATCTATATTTTCCTTTAATGATGTTTCTTTTTCTAAAAGATGTTTAATATGATTTACGAATGCGTCTACGAAAGTAGCATGTTATATTTTTTAGATTTGTCTCGACTCCAAATCCGATTGTAACATTTATTCGTGAATCTAAGAGTACATTTGTTTACAATGTATGACGATGATTATTTTTGCTTATCGATTAATATATTCGCATTAATATTTTTGCATTATCGATTAATATATTCGCTATCATCACCTTGTTTCACAGCGGAAACTTTTTGTTCACTAAATATTCGCATTGTTAAATTACACTTGTGGTCTGTGGAGATATGATTCCTCAAGTAAACCCCTAACTTTTAAATAAACTCTACTAATTCTTTATTTCTAGTGTAAGACAATAACTCTTACAGAAAAGTATTATTAGTAATTACTAAAGAAATAGTAGTGATCAACTATTGTTCAATAATTCACTGATTATTTGGTGAATTACTGTATATGGTACATTTTTTGTTTAATTTTTACAAATTTATCTATTAGCCCAGACAATCTAATGGTTGATTATTTTGTTTAAATAATAAAAAAATTTAACGTTGTTGCGTGGTTTCGATCCTGTAGCGGTCATCATTCTTTCTCATACCGCACTATCTACTGAATAATTGAACTGGAACTAATGGTGCCAACGAGCTGTAACGATACCTTAGTGGATAATGCTTATAAAATGCTCTTATATTACTCAAAAAAACATTGTAACAGCATATTTATTGGCGAATGTTGGAAACGGCGCAACAACAATCGAAGTGCGACTGATATTGATATAATATGTATCAGTGATTTATTAACGACATGACTGCTTTTAGATTCTTAGCATTATAGAGTGAAAAGTATAAGATATTTTAGTCACTAGAAAATATTTAATCCATATTAGTAATTCATTACAAGAACCTAATAATACATCAGTGACTATCGCTGTCGTAATCATTGAATAACTGTGTAGCATTAGTAAACCTGTGATTTAAGTACTTATAATTATTAACCACTTACAATAATACTACTGCACAATAGTAATTTATTACTGACCGACTAATAATACTTTTCTATAAGGGAATTAGACATAATTTGACCAGGTTGGACCAAATCTTGGATGATTTATTAACATATTCCAAAGTAAATTGTTCGGTTTTACATTTTAACTTAACGTTTATTACGTTCCTGTATCGACAATTATCGACAATCCGCTCTTTAGACTATATATAAATAATGCCGCAGCAAACCTAACAATATTTATATTTTATCAGACTTTATAAAATGTAATTTATAAATTTCATAATTATAAATATCATTATGTGAATGATATATTAACGTATATCATTGATTCGCGCGCAATTAACGCTGATCGCTGTTTCATGCGATATTATATCTTTTTCGTAATATTTTCTAGATAACGCCATTATTATCATCTATCATTATAAAAGCCGTAATATGTCGATTTAAATACGTTCTATATTTTATTGAAACTTCTGTAATTGGGTTGCGGATATAACAGATGATACCGACGAAATCACACGATACGCAACAATGTACAAATAATTTGTTAAATATGTATAAATATCTCTCTGAAAATTTACAATTATTATCTCGCAAGTGCGCATCGAAAGCGCGCGACGAGAGTTAAATTCCATAATTAAAATCCGGTTCGTATAAAATGAATATCAAGACGCTTTAAAATTTGTCCGTGCTGAACAGGAAGCAGACACGGGGCGAAATAAGATCGTTAGAACGATTACAAGGCAATGTAATTATTGCGAAAGTAATTACCATGCAAACTCGCTCCTTCTCGACTTTTTCGACAGGCATCCTCGTTAATCAGAATGAAAGTGGACTTACAATTAGACAAGTTTTGTTTCTTGTCCCCATACTCCTGTACAAATTAGCGAAAAATTTCTAACGTAACGTAACAAGAGCGTTAGCAATCGATAATTTCGTTAACGTGTTATAATTTCATGTGATGCAAAGATCGTATCAATCTATTATAATGCCGATCTTTCAGTTTTTAATTATATGACAACATGTTCGCAATGTAGACTGAATAACGAAAAAGGGTAAATGACACCTGCGGAAAAAAAAAACTTTGAATTAAAGACGAAATCTTGCAAACATCATTCCGTCCTTAAATTTGCACGACGAGAACGCCAATCAATACGAGATTAATTTCTTTTTAACGACGCAGACGAAGTAATAGTTTCTCTTTAATAGTCTCGCGAGAGTAAACAAAATACCATCAACAAATTCGTGCGTTCTTCGCGAGGGAGGACTTTGCCGAGGTTTCCGAGGCACGAAGAGAAGTTTCTTCCCGTCGTGTCTCTGAAGTTCTTTGAGAGAGAGAACGTAATCTCGAGCGGTACTTCTTCCCGCGTATGCACGCGCCCTCCGCATACTACGACTGTATAATACCGTCCTCCTTTTCGCCAAATATGTACGCGCGAAATGCAATTGCGATGCGTTTGCGCTTCGTCGCGTTTGTGAATTGCGCTTGACTGTAAACAGATATCTCGTCTTGGTAGTAACCCCCCTTGCGTTCTGACCGTCGGACGGAACGCGGAAGTGGCGGGACGCGCGCGCGGAACGCGAGGCAGCACGCAGGCGCCCGCGTGCTTGGCGGCAAAGCGGAACCGGCGGTGGTACTCGTCGCGACGCCCGGCGTTTACCCTCAGTTGACGTAGCCGCGTCGTCGACGTAACAATATGCTCCCTGTTCTCGCGATCCCGGTGTTCTGCATCACGACATGGGCATCCGCGCTGAACGATCCGTCATCAGGTAAAGATCACCGAGCACCCTCCGAGCCAGGCACGATTTCCGCACCGCACACGAGACCGACGACGGCATGCACGAAATGCGATGTAACCGTACGCGACAAGCACCTGGTGAACCCGCGCGTCCTCATCGTCTCCGACGTCCTCATCGACTGCGACCGCGATGGGACGTCGTAGGGACTCGAGGATCCTCGTCGGCCGAGAGAACGACACTTCGCGGTCGACGTTCCGCGCACGATCGAGGCCCTTGCGAGATCCTGGCGATCCTCGCGAGCGAGGCACGTCAAGGGGGTAGCTCGCTGCATTGTTTTACGACGCTGTTTCCGCACGAGGTCCGCGTGCGCGCATTAACCGCGCGCTGTGTCGCGAGGCTTTTCTCCGTCCGACTGCTCCCCCTGTTCTCCCCCGTGTTCTATTCCGCCGTGCCGCGAAATTTTACGGGCGGCTTTTACGATTGCGGTTTGTTTATTACGCGGATGATAAAAGTCAGTAGGTGATTACGGGCCGGCAGTAATTTAAACGAACGAGATTGCCATGGTCGCGACTCGCTCCTGTTCCACCCCCGCGCGTTTCACTACGCCGTTCCGCGTCGGGAGCTTTGCGGCGATCCCTGCGGGAGAGATCGTGCCGCGGTGTCGTAACGTGAATTTACGTTATCCGTTGATCGAGATCGCGCTGCACGCTGTCTGGACGTAAAAGTCTCCCAGGCTCCTCCGCGCTTCGACGAGTCTCGAGCCGCTTACTAGAGCCGCGGTTCTACGTCCAGTTTCCTTCGTTACGACGGCTCCTACGGATCAACGTCATACCGATTGGAGCGAAAGCAGCGAGCCTCCTGTTGCCTTTGTCTTACTTCCTTCCGGACAGTGTGTCTCACCGTATCCAGGACGATCGCGGTTCTCTCGAGTGGCCGAGTCCATCGCCTTAGCCGAGAAAATAGAACGAAAATAGGCGCATGCAAATGGAAACGCGGAAAGTCGGCATTGTGCCATTCATCGGTCTCCTTGCCACCCCCAGGGCTTATTCTTTCCTCGGCACCTATCCCGGTGTACCTACCCCTTTCTGCCCGTTTCCTCCCGGCCACATCGTACCTCCAACCCCGCGCCGCGCGTCTCACCGCGTATACGAATCATGACAAGTATAAATTATCACGGCGGAAGTTAGTCCAACGAACTCCCCTTCTTATCCTTTCGCGTGATAATAATTACTCTCTCTTTCTTGGCCGGTCGACTGGGAAATGGGTTCTTTAGCCGTCGGACGGGACACTTCGTAGATCGTGCCGGAGATCGGCCGTTTATTCGCGCCCCCCTGCTATTATTCCCGCTTTGCGGTGCCGAGACAAACGGCAGAAATTTAAAGGGAAGTAATCGGCAGACTTCCGGACGAGAAGGAGAGAGAGTGAGAGAGAGGAAGATATATAGAGAAAGAGAGACGCGGCCCGGCGTCGCGCCGCGTTGCGCCGCGCGTCGGCACGTGGGGTAGCCGCGGATTAGGAGCCATTGAAATACGCCGGCGCTATTACGCGCGCCTTGCGCTGTAATCGCGCGGGCTAATGACTTAGCGCCGAATTATCGCGCCGTCCGACCGAAGGCTCCGTAAATCCACTTGGCATGGCCCGAACGTTAATTGCCCGCCTCTTGCCGCCCGAATTAGTCCCGAGTTAGTTGCGGAATCCGACGCGATATACCGTCGTTTTCAGGACGAGAACGACGGCGACGACGCTGACGACGGAGACGAGGATGAGGTGCGCTTTTAATCAGCGCGTTCGGGTCGCGTCACGTTGCTGCTCGATACTTGTGCGATAAGGTAGTAATAAACGCTCGCCCCCTTAAATCTAGTCGTCACGTGAGTTACTTACGCCGGAATGCGCCTCTCGCAAAGAGATATCGATAAAAGCCGCAGTGTGTATGTGCGGGCGGCCGCGATTTACGATTCTCAAAATTGTTACAACCCTAATTTATGCACGACGCGCCGGAGTAAAGCTGTCGGCTCGCGCGCAAGTTTTTATCGCGTGCGAATAAAACAGATAATCTGGACGGGTGTGTTTTATGTATTTTGTGCGAATAAGTGCGGGCATTCGAACGCTATTGCCCGAGAACGTGCATTTCCAATTCTTTCGGAACAGTTACGAGTGCGAGGATTTCGGTGTCGTTTCCTGCGTGCTTCCCCCCAGACGGATCGTTACACGTTCGGCACAGGCCCGATTCGGCGAACTAATTAAATTTACACACTTTCGAAAGTCGGGCTTTCGCGATCGATTAATGCGACACGAGCAAGAATCACCTCGGCGTGCGTCTGTAATATTGAGGAGCGCGAAATTGCGCTTACACTCATGATTTTATTACACTATACTTTGTATAAATTAAGAGATGGCGTAAAAAGCATCGAAGCTGCTAATGTGTGACCTAATTCTTATTCTACATAATCAGTTTTAATTAACAAAGTGTCCTAAACCAACTACAAAAGCGTTTTACACTAAATGGCTCAAATATGTAGATCCGTCGCGCTCTCGCTGGTAATAAAGTCATATTAAAAGTAACATTCCGAGTTCTTCGTTACGTTTGCCTCATTTGTCCGTTGGTTTATCCGTGCGATTTTAGTTGTAACAATGTGTTTTCAGACATCAATGTAACTGTCTCGCGTTGTCATTTGAAGTCACGTGAAGAACACCGCGCTTCGCGCTTTCGCCTAAGGAAACACAAGCGGATTCCCGTACTGATGGACTCTGTCCATTTTCGCGCGGCTGTTGGCACGTCATTATTTAGTCGTGCGCATTTCGCGCTATTCTCACTCTGAATTGATTGCAAAGATCTTCGTACGTTTCTCTAATCCGCTGAATAATGCACGCGACGAGCAATCCGTTAATGGAGAAGTCAAATTAATTGCTGAAACAAGCACTCTCCCTTTAAAGATTCCGCGTCAATTCGCTGACGTTTACGAGGAGCAATTTGAATTGTTAAGTATATTACTCGAGGTATCAGACGCGCAATTAACGCATATTTCCTATTTCGGGGTGACGGCTGACGGCGCATGATTGACGCCTGGGTTATATTTTATTCACAACTGGAAACGGCTTAGCCCTGCGATAAATTCCTCCTTTTACTGTCGTGCTTTTATTAATACGTTGAACACCGAGTTGCCGTCGCGTCTGAACTATTAATGGCAGATTTTCTAATGAAATCGTCGTCGATCTATTCTTATTGAAATATTTGCGCGAAATGGAATTAAAGTCGTCTGTATTTGACACGTTTATATAGCTTAGAGATTCATAAAAATCCGAGAATACAAGCAGCGAAGTATTCGTTCTCTTGCACTGGGAGAAAAATAGTTTAGTATTTGTCACTATAGTAAAGTCAGTGATAAAGTATTTATAATTTTTATACCGTTCTTTGTAGTAAGTGTTACTATAGTGTCAGTGATAATAACCTAATATGTGTATCGTTATTACTACGTTTTTGTTAAAATGAGAAAATACAGTTGGCGCTGAAGATGACAATTATTTTTGGCGAAATTAATAATTTTTTCCCTCAGTGCGGTTGCTCCTGAATGAGATTTTGTTTCGTGAATGTAACTCGGAGCATATTTGTCGAGAGATTCGATATGAATAATTGTCGTCATAATAGTTGTTTCCTGTCCGTTTTTTTCTACGGAAAAACCAATACGTATGAAAGGATGTAATTGAGCAACATAACTCGTAATTCTCGTGGTCGTAACTTTGTTACTGCGTTAATACAAAATTACGGTAATTGACATTGTGGCATTTATTTATTTATTTGAAAGAAATATTCCTTATCTACTGTATTTTTTTAAATACTATTTTTTATTTTACATCGCGCGTGAAGGATAGCGCGAAGAATACGAATGTCAAAACGAATAGCTCTCAGGTCTCATAAAAATAGCGTATTTTTGTAATAGTCGAGGCGCTATTACCACGAACGATGAGAGACGCAGCAGAGCGAGATACGCGCGCAATTATGGCGTCTGCGAGGTTTCCCGCCTATATCTTCGCAAAATCTAGCCGAATTGTCTTTGCTAATAGCGCATCGCGCCGAGCAATTAATTGCGGGAGTCTGCGATTGGTAAATCGTGTGATATTTGCCGGTGTGATTTTGCGTTTGATTGCACCTAATTCGCAAACAGCAAACCACTGTCGGCCGGCACACCCCTTCGTGTGTTTGCACGCGGAATCGGTATTAAACTAGCAATTCCGTGCTTCGCGCGTGCACCGAAATCTCCTCTAGTAGAGAAATGCGAGCGCGTACGGTAGATAAATATGCGCAGCCACTCTTTGGCACATCCTACCAGCAGTACATGTGCGGTTCTCAGTTTTTTGTCGCACGCGTCGCCATTCCTCATGCATCCACCTCTGGTGCGAGCAAAGGGGAATGTATAATGACACGCGCGCGCGGTCCACTGCACCTTCAGTACACGTCGACGCTATTTGCGTCGCGATAGAAATGCCTTCACGATGATAAGTCTCGAATTATGCGTCTCTCACTGCACATCTCTCTGTATTTGAAATAAAAACCTGTCCATTTTCGTGTAATTCTACATCTTCCCGCGGGACGCGTGATATTTTATTCGGGGTGATATACAACAAGAGCGGCTCTCTCTCTCGTTCTACCTCTGACCCTCTTTGAAAACGCGAACGAAACGTTGTAAGCGATACAGCTGTTTAAACTTCACGAATTATTTTCGCTCATTTGAAAGTAACGTCGTGACGCCTCTTGAAACGTCTTTCTTTGGCGAGATAATATTTTTTATCGCAAAGAGCTACGCACGCGGGAGTGTATCTTTCGATTATTATATGTCGGTGCGAATAAGTTTTACAAAGTCTCTTAATCATTTTTCCGCAACGTAAAGCTCGCGCCCCGTTGAAATCGAGGGGCGTACTTCGAGCCCGGTATTGTTTCGAAGCTCCTTAACTTCGCCGACTTATCATATTAAAGTACTATCGGTGAATGAAGTTTTATTCGAACCGATCAACGTTCACGAGTCCTGCGGAGA